AATTAACCAATCAATCAATCATTATCAACCAATACCTACTGTAACTACAAAGCAAGTTACATTTTCCATGCTATACCTGTATGATCAAAAGGTTTCTGGACTTCACTCTTAATTTGACTCCAATGTCTGTCCCTCATTGCAGGATTTTTAAGATCTTGTATAAGTGGCATGGTTCTCTTGAACTGCTCAATACGGCCTTTGATGGAGTCACAGATGTCCCAATTTTTGTCCTTGATTTCTCTGACTGTCTTATTCAATCTTTTAAACAACAACTGTGATGTRGTTTCCATGTCAGTAGTYACAAGTTCTGTGAATCGACCAACTTTCCAAGAATCCCAKAGATCTTCCCATTCCTTAGTGATAGTCCAAACTTGCTCCAAGTGTTCAAGATCTTTCTCCAGTGTATGCAGGTCCTTGGAWGGAGCTTGCTCAATCTTGAAAATGTTCAAACCACGTCGCAGGGTGGACTCTTGGTTTTTGAGATTCTGGACTTGTTCATGGTATTGAGCAACTTGCTCAAGAGCCTAAATTAGAGATAATAATCTATTATTATAACATTATATTTTAATAAGAGATCTATACAGTTGTATCAGTTCTTACCTCTTTTACAGCAATAGCACTGCTAAAAGGTCCTTTGACTTGGAAATCATCAAACAAGGTATTGACAGTCTTCTTAAACTCCTCTGATGAATGGATAAGTCCTGTTTTGAACTTTTCTTTGCTCTTTTTCAYCATGACATCACTYTCTAGCAGGCATTGCTGGAATGACATCCATTCCCCACTWAGCTGGTCAAGCATTTGCTGAACCTATGAAAACATAAGATGAACAGTGTGTTATAAACAGGATATACCAAATCAAATACTCTGAAACTCATTATCAATTAGAGTCTAGTATTTGATATTATTCTAAGCATATACCTCTTCTGGAATAGGAACTTCATATTTCTCCAGGATCAGAAACTGCTCATGTAATGGWGGGAATTTTGCTTCAATGTTGGACAAATCATTCTGCATACGCTCTAGTAATGCAAGACTTTCTCCCAACTCATCTAATGTCTCTGGAGGTGCACTTAGCCTGGCAACAAAGATGTGTCATATTTTGCATATTTGAATAAAATATTGTGGGTTGGTTGGTTGATTTGATAAGAGGAGAAAAGAGGAAAGAGAAAGAGGGAAAGAGATGGAAGGACATCAAACATAATTCAAATCATGCTAATAGTGCCTTTCAAGGGTTTCTGGTCAGTTCGTTCCCAAGTCAATTCCAGTCAATTTGCTATGCAACAAGTCAATTTGCTACACATCGAGTCGATTCTCAAGAAGGTACAATTATATGTAGTTCGATATACAGACTTCAATAACACTTGTTGATAAAATATCACTCATGACATCAAACCATTTCAAACTCACTTCCTTGCATTGTCTTTTAAGAAACTATTGAGCTCCATCAATTTCTGACTGGCCATCTCCCTCAATAGAGTAGTGAACTTGTTCTGCCACTCATTACAATGYCTCAACAAAGCAAACTTTAATGGTGAACAATCCAGCATCACAAAGTCAATGTTCAGAACTGTCTCTTCTTTCTGGAAGTTATTGGCAATTTCTGTATATCTACAAAAAAAAATCCAAAATATAATATTGATATAATTGATAAAGAACACACTATTTAATCTAACAGATTGAATAAATACAATTTTGATAACACAGATTATAAAACTTCTAGTACATTATACCTTGCAATATCTGCATCAAAAGATGACACAGGAGGATTGAGTCTTTGGTATCTCCTAATGAAAGCATCTTTTTGAATCTCCCAGATTTCACGATATCTGAGAAGTTTGTAAAAATTACTCTTCAATTAACACCATCTACAAAACCTCATTAATAATTGTATTGCCATCAAACATTGAAAAATAATTAGGTGACTTACGTGTCCCATGTGCTAAGGTATGACTGTAGATGAGAGGCATTAGCAGACATTCCTGCTTTGATTGCAGCTTGGATCTTTTTTGTTTCATCATCTCTTTCAATTATAATATGAACAGGCTAGAAAAAAAACAACTTAAAACATGACTTCTATTTAGATTTGATAACATACAACTGTCTCACATTTACCTCTTTGGTAGACTTTCTTTTTGTCAGTAGATTTGGTAATCTCTTGAACACTGATAGACAAGTTGTGAGTGAGCTTGCAATGTTGTCCATCATGCTTGCCAGTTTGGTTAGAGTTGGAGAGAATTCAACCTAAAAAAAAACAAGTTACAGTAAGAAAACATTACTTTGAGCATTTGAAGCATTTAATACAATGTATATTATACAGTGGATTCTTGTTAATTGGATTTTGAGGTGTTCTGAGATGTATGCCAAAGGAAAACAGGCCAATGCAATGTTATCCATTCATCAACTGCAAGTTTTGACTGGACGGTAAGTTTCTTGAGGAAATTTATACGTCTAGACATGCATAAATTCACATGGGTGATACAATGAGCTCTATATACCTTATCTCCTTCCAAAACAACCTTGACTCTTAACAGAGGGTTTGGTATACTCTTGCCATCACCATTGATAGCTCTAGATAGTTCCTGCAGTGACCACTTGACATTAAGTCTAAAGGCTTCCTCTACCATACGATCAATCTTTTCAGTATATCGTACCCAATGGGCTTGAACCTGTCAATTAACACAAAATTACAATTAKTATCTCCAAGCCTTGACTGTATGTTGTTTTATAGAGTATTAGTAGTAAAAAAGCCCAAAATAAACCTACATCTTGGCCATCATTTCTGAATACTTCATATGTACTCTTCATAGTTCCAACTATCTCCATGTGAGTGACTTGAAGTCTTGTTTGCAGCATCGACATGTGGCTTTTCTAAAAAAAATTAAAACAAACATAGAACATGATGCACCTCTGAAATGAAACAAATCTGTTCAGCCTGAATGATAAAAGGCTACAAATGGCTAAAAATTATGGCTGTATTATGTTCCTTTTGTACATGAACTTACTTTTAACACATCAACATTTCAAAGAAATAGAACTATCCCACAGTCGCTTGGATGAACATGAAACAATGGTTTTAAGTTGAGACTGGAGTTTTATCTTTTGTTGAAAACTTCAGCCTCGAATTTAAGCCATTGCTTCGTGTTCATCCAAGCAAGTGTGGGATTGGTCTATTACTTAAACTTATAAAAGTACTAGCTTCAATCTCTCAATCCTTGCTTCTTGTGAAGCTTCTAGTAAGGGTAAAGATCCATAGCAAGCATAAAACGAAGATAACAACTCTCACCTGTTCATCTTCAAACTCAAGGTTATCATACACTCTTTTTCCATCAATCTTTACCAATAACATCTCACTAATCTTGACACAGTTCTTGGAAATCATCAAGTTGGCATTCTTGTAGTCATCTACTATACCTTGAACCTTGCTGCAGTTGTTTCTACATTCCCCAATGAAGTAATCTGATATACCTTTGGAAGCCCAGGTGAGTTTAGTGAGACCTGGATGAATCTTTTTGTCTAAAGACCGGATTCTTTCCTTGAAGAGGGCACGTTCTTCTGGTGACAGAACTGCTATTATTCTGTGGAAACAAAGAAGGACTTTGGGTAATGTTGTTGGAATTGTACCAAGAATACTCAACAATAGATAGGATGGTGGATGTAACAGAAAGATAATGAAAGGGAAGTGGATGGGAAGAGAAAATGAATAGGAAGTGAATGGGAAGAGAAAGTAAATGGGAAATAAATAAGAAAAGAAAAGGGAAGGCAAAGGAAGGACAAGAGATGGTAGCAAAATGAATTAGTGAAAAGATATTATCTATTAGTTGAAATACCTATTGTAATCCCTGACGACAAGTAAGACATTTTCTCGTAATATCCTCAGGTCTTCCTTCTTTTGGTAAACTTCTGAGACATAGTGAGGTGTCTCGAACATCAACTTCTCCCAGTAGTGAATCTCATTAATTAACTTCAAAAGACTCCTAGAATATGGAATAGCAAAAAAAATAATTATCAATGATAGCAAATAATTTATTTTACACAATTTCATGATAATTTTCAAATTCACTTGATAAAAGGCAACATACTTGTCAAAATGCAGATCCAGAGTCCCTGTTCTGTCCTGGCTTCTCCTCATGAGTGGAATTTCAAGGAGTTTTACTGATTCCTAATACAAACAAACAATACTATCATTATGCATTTCAAAATGATTTAGGAATAAGAAAAAAATACATGTCTGAAAATGTTTTAACATTTAAAAGCTTAAAAGCTTTATTGTGGGAACATCTATGCATATAAGTGAAGTTAAATAGCTTACCTTATCTACTAACGCCGTCCACTCATTGAACGTCTTGCGCACATACTCATCCAAAGCCTGTGCTAATTGCTGGTACTGGGTTCGTATTTCATCTCCAGTGCCAATTTGAGGCAAATAAAATGCTTTGTTGATGACCTAGAATTTATTGCACAAAAATGCCTAGTAAATAATTATCTTTATACAGAAATACTTGCTTMCCGACCAAACTGTAAGACAAATGCAGCATACAAATAAATTGTACATTAAATAAATAATGTACAATGAATGCAAAATGGCATAAAAATAGCTTAAATAAGCTATGAAACATTCTCTCATTATTACATTGTTTAGTACTAAGGAGAGTATCAACTTAAATCACTAGACAATGATTTTTTAGAAMGACTTACTGCCATTGGTTTATCAATCCTACGTCGCAACATTCTGGCCCAGCTTGAGGAGCCAGCATACTTAGGATARAAAGCTGGTAAATCTACACTCTTTGTATTAAACTCCTTCTTCACTAGATTTAGTTCTTCATTGAATAGTTGATAGACTTCTACTGTCTTTTTGTCAATAGTTCTCCTGATAGCCTAAACGATAAAAGATTATTGATAAAACATTATATTACTTTACTATCAATATACTTTAATAAAGTCATATTTAAACTGGTTTAAATTAAAACCTGGTTTTTCCTACAACGTAAACTTAAGCCCAACCTAGGCGCAATTGAGCAAGGCTCCTTAACTCCATGAAAACAACCCAACGTAAACGCAAAACGAAACACATAAGTTTGTGTTTGCTCTCACTTAAGTGCTACAGTAATGAAAATATAAAGGTTACCTCTCTAGAAGAAAGATGTTGGAAGATATCCAGGATTTCAGCCCCTTCCTGTGATGAAATGACTGTCTCAAATGCAGATGTTATCAAATTCTGTACCATCACCTCCAAATCTTTTACACCAGCACGGAATCTTGAGATGAAATCATTTAATGGTTACAAATGGAGGCTTTGATGTTGCATGCACTTATTGTTTRGAAATAYCTTTAAAKATTTCTTAAAGAAAACCTACCTATTAAAGTCATCATGCCAAGTMGTTGCCTACAGAAAAAAGAATAAAAATTCATGAGAAKATTTGTTTAAATAWACCATTATTAAGTTAGTCTGCTGTGGRCTGGGGTGCACTTACTGTATGTTGATTAATGCTATCCACCAAACAAATTCTTATCCAATACACAATGTAGTTAAAGTTCATGAAATTCATGAAGTGGAAAGCTTTGTTCCTGCTTCTACAACCATGCCCAGAAAAGTATTGTACAATGAAAWGATACCTTGACATCCAAGATAGTTTTCTTGACATTCCTTAAGATCTGTAAGTTCTTCTCAAATGTAGCTTCTATCTCAAGAAGGCTTCTTACAATTTCAGGTCCTTTTACACCATGGAAGCAAGGAAGTGGAGTCTTTGTGCCATCATACATTCTTGCAAAATGCATTTGGCCTTCACAGACCTGGATAACATCAATGACAATATTAACCATCAGCATCATTATCATCCGTATTATCATAATATAAAAATCATCACTATCAACAATATGATCAGTATTTTTTATCTGCTCGGTAAATCTTAATCATTAAGCATAAGCTTTATCGTAATCATAAGCTTTTAAAAAGTCATTGTCACTACAGTGATCATCATCATCATCATAAATTATAATCATCAATCATCATTTGTGTATTTTAAATGACCTCACAGTCTATTGCATATGTTACCTCAAGCAGATCCTTGCATCTTTGCACAAATGCATCAACTTGAGCAAAAATGCTGCTTTGGTCAAGTACCCAAGGGAATCCAGAGAACTTAGCATGCATTCTACTTATCTAACAAACAGATYAACAGGCACTCATTAGGAAAAAATATTTCAAGATCTTTCTGCAAGTTACACAACCTTGATATAGGTCCCTACCTTTAGATAAATGTCCTTATATGCTTCACAGCACTCAATGCTCTCTTGAAGACCAAGCATGCTTATTCTAATTCGCCCATCAAAGATATCATCAAGACAGATTTTAGTGCTACAACGTTTGATGATTTCATTGCTCATCTAATGATYAYAAAAAAATGATCAAAWTTGAGCCAGTTGTGATTGTAAATAGGCATGTCACTCTCAATCATTTCCAAGACYAGTGGACGCTTTTAAAATATCTRAGGTGCATGTAGCAGGAAAATCATAAATATATTGTTCAAATGCTCACGTTTTTCCCCTAGTGAAAATACCCCAAATTTTCATGTTCATGCCTTGATATATAAATGTCTTTACAACTCAGAAATGGTCTATTGTTACTGAGTGAAGGTAATATGTTATGTTCCACTCACRTTCCTCAACAGGCCAGTGAGCCTTTCTGCACTTTTGTAATGTTCAGAGTTGATCCATATTACTCTGATAATGTTTAGAATCTTGGGAAGCATGGGTGGGATCTCCTTTGGCTGAGCCTCTGCAAGAGCTTCACATGGTTCTTTCAACACAGACAGAAACTTGAGATTGCTTTGGGCCTGGGCTGATCCATTCTGAAGAATTTCACAAATATCATTACATTATTAATTAATACATATATTATATTCCTTACATAGGTAACTTGCAGTTAATTTCTAACAATTACCTGTATCTGTTTAGCAAGCTTTAGGAATGGAGTAACGTAAGACGATTTGGATAATTCTAGGATACTCTGTATTCTCATCACTCCTGGCTTGTTGAGCTGGTCACTGATTCCTGAAAGATCTGCACATCTACTTCTCCAGAATTCTATTTCRTCAAGAGGGCCTGAGTTTTCAGCRGTTTCAAGGTTATCCTGGCTGCTGAGTACCTCTTTAATCTGTCTTGTCCAATGGATCATTGCAGCTGTAAATTAAATGATAATATTCAAGTACTGTATTTACGGTATCATCCAATACTGCAGGTCAAAATTACATTACATAATGCAACCTCCTCTGCAGCTATCCCTTGTTGTCATATATCACATTGCATATCAACACTAAAGGGTAGCTACTGAGGATGATATGAATTTATAGAGCGGATTTCGTATGAGTGGGACACCGTTACCGCACGGTTACCGCACAGTTACCGCACCTGGCCTGCACAATTTTGGTGAACCAATGGGGCACTAGAATTTGGTTACAGTACGATTACGGTCACAGTAAAGTACCGTGCGTTTCCCACTCATACGAAATCCGCTCTATCAATCTTACTTTCCAATCTTTGTACAAATTCTTTACTCTTGGCAGCTTCTTCTATACTAAGGTTGACATTCTCATTAGGAACATATAGAACAGTCTTTCCTTGCATTCTGTATCTAGTGTCTGTCAGATTGGCCATAAACTTATGTACATGTGCAGAAAAGTCATTTTTGATACCTAGTTTGTATGTTAAGGAATGCTGCAAAAGTTCAATAACTTTATATATAATACAATAAAACTAGRGCAGCCATCTCTCTTCATATCATCTGCCTCTACTACCTATGTTACATTACAAACGGTTTTTTACACTGGCTGGACACTACAACTAATTCTATTCAAATATACATTATTCAATATATACCTGCATTTATAACAATGCAAAGGATACTYTCAGGCCAAGAGGAGTTTTTAAAGAATAACGGAGCATAGACATTTGTCATTAATCTTAGCAAATTCTCCACATAGTTCATATGTACAGTTCCAAATTGCAGTTTTTTCTCTAAATTATCAGGATTAAGAACAGCATCTTCTGATTTTATAATGTAAGTAAGTTCGTCAACCTGGTGRGGCYGGATCGARGAGGAAACCTGAAGTCCTAAGAGTTTGTCAATATATACCACGAGAATCCGCATGGTTGTGTCAGTCACAAACTTTAAAATAGTGTCATCATGCTCTGTTGTCCATAAATCTGATGAMAGAGCACTCAACGTGACTCTTTCTTTGATTAAAGGTATCTGTTGATAAAATGATTGGCACTTAGAACAATAGATTTATAATAATAAGCTAGACAATATACAATGTACAAATGGAATCGACTGTTTTGTACATCATTGTTTAGTGGTTTACTCTATCGTAGCTTAAAAAATACCAAATATAAGGTTACTTTCTACCTAAATCACGTCTAAATGCGTTCAATTATRATTAAACCTACATATTACTTTGTTGCTATAAACCTAGRGAGCAGATTGAACATACACAAAACAATTCAGCAATAATTAACCATTTTCTAACCATTTCAACTGGATCTAGTTCTTTTTCCCTCGCTTCTGAGCTACCCCSTCCATTGATCGATGCAGCATTTTCGTGCAACTCGATTCCATTCTCGACTGGAGAGGTATTACCAGTTTTGTTCTTTTCGGATGCAGCTATACTTGATTCTAGTTGTGCTGTATCTGAATGACTATCTCCAGCATTTGAAGTACCACTGAACGCTTCTTCAGTTTCTGTATCCATACTTAAATATAAGAATTTTGACGTTTCCCGCCTTAAACGAGTTCAGGTTTTGATGTCAACAACGAAGCAATGGTACAAATGTGCGTCTTCGCAAATTAAATTACGGAAAATTCCCTGAGTTTTAAACTTCTTTGAGACTGCAAAATGCTAGACTTCGTACAAAACATCAAGAAAATCATGCATTATGTTAAAAGTAATGGCTTTCTTGTCCACTAAATTCAGATAAATATTGCACTTCACTTCAAGAATCCGCCATTTTGATTACCAGTCTCTATAGCAACTTTGGCTAAAATGCCTCGTTCCCGCGCAAATCTTTTTTCAATGATATTTGACGGGATTCCTTTTTATTTTGAACGTGAAGTTGTCGAGATGAAATTGTTATGCGTAATAAAGATGTTTACTTATTTTGGCAAGATAACTGGCTTATCCTGTAAATACTATCTGACATAGCGATAAAAAAYTAGCAATAAAATCCACTGAAAAAAGAAATTTATTTAGCATCTAAGCAAGGGACTGGGTATGAATCTCAATAAAAAAAATTGAGGGGCGCCTCAAGAAAAGTTCAGGGGTAGACAGCCATGTTACAGTATTTTTACTGATTTGAGAGCGTGTGTAGGTTATATTTTGAATTTGATTTTATTTATAGCTTCAAAATGCCTCGAAGTCGATCAAAATCAAAGTCTCGGTCAAGATCTAAGAGTCGTAGTACTTCACCTCGCCGAAAACGAAAAGAAAGAACGTACAGAAAACGTGGATCCAGGAGCCACAGCAGATCTCGGTCAAAACACCGAACAAGAAGTCGTTCTCCGGCTTACAGAAGGGARAGATCCCCAAGAAGGCGAAGATCTCGTTATTCTAGAAGTAGAAGTCGTTCTCCAAGTGTAGATAGATTTGGCCGTACAATACCTAAAAGGAAAGATGATGAGACAAAAAAGAAAGAAGAAGAAGAAAGATTGGCTGAAATGGAACGACAAAGGAAAATGTGAGTATGGACGAATCGAGATACATTTTGGGAATTTTTTGTAATGTTTTATAAACACTTGTGTTGTATGAAAGTTAAGCCTTGACTTCAATTTGTGTAATGACTTAGATCAACATTGAGCTGACGCCTATCTTCGTGAAAAGATTATAAACAAGATTGTTTTTGTCGTGACGACCTCATGAGTGTAGCTCGCTTATTTTTATTCTTGGATTTTCACTGTCTTCGTATTCAAATCAGATTATCCTTGCATAATTCTTGATATGAGTATTATTTGAATATCTACTGTAGCGCCAGAATAGTTCAAATTCACACCTGTGAATAAATCAATAAATTATATGCATCAAAAACGAAACGTACATGCAAACTACAACACAAATGACAATCAGCTAGTTGTCAGTCACCCCTGCCTTGACCTGCCAAACGCTGTAAGGAAAACTTTATTTTGAAATTTAACATACAAATGCACAGTTTCGACAAGTGATAATAATGCACAGCAATATTGTTTTGAAGGAATATTGGATTATTTTTTAGTTTAACCTGGTTGTTTTTTTTTCAATTAATAATGAATGGTTGGGAAGCCATTGTTCTTCAGTTATTTTTCTTTTCATTCTGATTTGTATTTGCAGTAAAGCTTAAATCAATATTTTTTTTGTTTTTCCAGTCGAGCAGCAGAGAGAGAGCAAAAGCTAATTGAAGAAGAAACACAAAAAAGAGTTGAAGAAATGGTAGCAAAGAGAGTTGAAGGGGAACTTGCAAAACACAAAGATGAAATTGACACAGAAGTCATGCGACGTGTTGAAGAAGCTAAAAAAGTAATGGAAAAACAAATGTTAGAAGAATTTGAAAGGAGAAAAGTTGAACAAATGGAGGCACTTCGCAAGAAAGAGGTAAAGTGTAAAATTCAATAGTGCATGTTGGTGGAAACAATGGAGTAAATTTGGCACTTAATTTTTGGTTTGTTAGAATAATGCTATTATGTACTATATGAAAAAGTTTATAAGATTTTAAGCTTTGAAATTATGCAGAAATGTATAATAATTTTGGAATAATATCAACTGACATCATTTTTTGACATTTTTTTGCWATTTATTGTAAAATGCAAACAATGTATGTTTTCAAGGTTTTAAGCATTTTTTGCTCCATGCGTTTCTAACAAACATGCTAATATTACTCAAACATGCAATTGTAAAATGAAGTTACATCAACAGGAGAGACAGTGCAGTGTTATTCTACTTTTCAAGAATAATTTTCACAGCAAAAACTTTGGAAAGAAAGACAGTTGTTTTTGGACAATACATYTACATGTATGCAAGCAAAATTTAGGGAAAACTTTGCTAAAGAGATGAGCTAAGAGGTTGTCCGTGCTAAGACCTCTAAAACATTCATAAACTTTAACTTGAGAATCAATGAAAYGATGCTTACAAGATACAGATGTCCATCCCCAAGCTACATAACAGAGAGAACAATAGGATATGTTTGACCAAAATGTATTCATGTACGTATATAACTAAKATTTGTGATTTACTGTGGGTTCAATTTATTTTGGTTTTCTTTGACAACTTTTGATCAATGCCAGCAGTAAGTCACGAAGAAAACTAGATTATAGCTGTATATRCAGTTCCAAAATATAAATTTAAAGCTTACTAAAAAGTCAAGTAACGTGATTGGAGACATGTCCRACCATCTTGTTGTTACCACAAACATGACATGTTAACTCAATTTTCAGGAGGAAGAAAGGCAAYAGCGAGAAAGGCTTCTTAAGCTTGTAGCAGAAAAACAAAAGGCTTTAGACGATGCTGAGCAACAACTGGTAAGTGACACTCACAGCTAAACCTGCTTCTCAAAGCAGTTTTAGTTKAAATACTAACAATCTTTTGTACTCCAATACTTGGTAAATGTTTTCTTTTGTTTCAAATGCCAAGAGAAGGTATAATTATATTCAGGTTTGCTGCTATCCAGTGTCAATAAATGAACAAAACCTTCAGAAACCTGTAGTATCACATCCTAAAATTASTACTAAGCTTCACTTTTATCATGTCAAAAGGTCCAGGATACTTGTCTAAAGCTGGCAGTGAAACATTACTCAGGGCCAAGTTTGGTTTGTTTAATATTACAATCACGTTTTGATATATAAGAACAATGTGCATTTCTTATCTGAAAACCTTGGTTTTAAGAATTCATTTTGGCACAAGCACCTAAAAAGTACAAGTTTCTGATTTTTTTTAAATAAACATTAATGATATTTTGAAGTCTTAAAATGTTATTTTTTACTAAGGTAAGTGTAAGAGAAGTTYATCTCACATAAATAGTTTTACCTTCAAGGCCATTAATAAATGTGAAAGTAATATTTCAAATTCATGAATACTGTCTTGAAAGCAMTAGGTTTCTATTCTCAAAAGTGTTCAATAACATCAGGCTTTTACCTCAATTTGAGGCACACAGAGGTCTGATTTAAAGTGACATTTGGATGCTTGGTTTTTATGATCTGGACACTTTTATTGTATTCTTTTGAAGTATCTGCCACTGCTTTCCTTTTTCCAGCTGTTATTGTTTTCAAAAACTACAAAACATTAGTGAATAAATGCTAATCTTCAAAACTTTACTGTAGGCTGAGGAGCGTTTAGCTATGGTTAGAGAAAGAGGGCTCCTRAATGAACAGAAATCCAGACTTGAAAAAGAAATCCGTAAGCAAGAACTAGCATCTCAAGAGCTTATTCTTAACAAAACCAAAAGTGCTCGTCCAAAGCTGTCGTTTGGTGTCAAGACAAAGACTGGGTTTTAAATGATTGCCTTCATATGTAACACAAGTTTTTCCCATTTTATGTGTGTCCGTTTTACATAGTTGTATCAGTTGTGTTGTTGTATGGTAAATGTGTCTTCATCTTCTAATGTTTTGTGGCTMTGTYCATACATTCCAGTCTAAGTCTTAAAACCAGAGAAAAATTGCCTTCTTTTTTGCATTCTGGAAATGGTTTTGGATGAAAAAATCTTAAATATAGGACCCTGCTAATAGGGTGCTCTATGAGGTCACTATAAGTATGACAGTCTGCTGTGTACGAAACCGTTTTTGAAATTTTAATTAACTCAAATTTACCTTTATTTTCATTAGTTATTATTAACTCCAAGAAATTTGTTTGTGAATAACTTAATATTTTAAATTTAGCATGAGACCCATAGAGATTATATTTATGAAACATTGTAAAAAACTCTTTCATATCTTGTCTTTACAATTTTTCAAGAGGTAAGTATTTATAATATATTTTGTTCTGACAAATTTTTTTCCAAAAAAAAATTGAAGATAACACTTTCTTCCTTGTGGCTTGCACATTTTTACAAACTGATTACAAAGTGATATTAAAAAGTAAAAGATTTTGTGCYGAAACTGATTTTTTATGGCTAAACTGAAAGAAAGAAACATTCTTGTAAAAGTACATGTAAAAATGTAAAGTTGAAGGTCAAACCAAATGTCATCAGTAATGTGATTACGGACATGAAAAGGATTTCTTTAACCATTTATCTCATTTTCTAATAATTTGCCTTGTATGAAAACCATTTAGTTTGTATATAAAAATAAACATACTCTGCAAAATTTCGTCTGAATTACTTGTTAATTGCGTACTGAGACTACTGCTTTGGGAGCGCMTTTTCTCCTCACGGAAAAAGGCATTGGGAACGAGGCTTCAAGCGCGCGCGTTATTTTCCTGGGTTTTTCTATTTATATCCTTATCCTTAGAGATTGCAAAAACCAAAGACTGTTTTGTCATGTAAAGKGGAGAAAATGAACACCACAAACACGAAATGAAAGACTARTTTGTCATGTAAAACGGAGAAAATAAGTAGTTGCATAAAAATATTTCGTACATGCACAGGCAAGAGGACGATTAGACGGAAAAGAAGCTGTTGATGCTGTTGAAGTTATAATAAGTTGATAATTTATTAAGAGAAAATGCGGGATCGGGATAGCGACAAATTGGCGGGATTGTAAAAAKWTTTTTGCGGGATTGAAAACCCCCTTGTGGACCCTCGTATATTGTCAAAATGAAGGAGCAACTCGAACGTCTGAGTAAATAAGTGCTTTATTAAACAAATATGCCACCGTTGACTGAGATCAATACCAAGATTAGCTAATGTTGATAAGCAGCATGCATTCATAGATAATAGTTCCTTGGTTATAAGATGCCCAGTGTTAGAGATCGTATATTTTGTTTAAGTGACTGCGACCGATTATTTTGGTAACGTGAGTGCAGATTTCAGCAAAACAACGCAAAAAGCTGGATATGAAATTTCAAAAGTCTAACTTCTATTAAAATTAACTATCATTTGAGAGTGCAATTTCAATAAGCATCTAAGTGACCTACGTTTTGATTCATAACTTTTGAAACTATTTAGCGGATTCTTTTCTGATTTCCATGGGTTATAGTTCTTGTGAATTCATACTGAAATAATTGAAAAGTGCAGATAAAGTGTCCGTCTCCGATTTGATTGTTCAAATCTTAGCTTTGTTGYCAGAAAGTAGAAATAAGTTCATGAGGGCTTATTGATTTTTACATTCATCTCTGCCTTTCCTGTCCGTTTTGTCTCTCGAGGTTCTTGTGGATCGATCACGGTCCCGATCACGGCTTTTGCTCTCGCTTGTGCTGTCTCTTTCGGTCCTGTTTCGCTCTGATTTTCTGTCATCGTCCCTTGGATATTTTGAAGTGTAGGTACTACGACCATAACTTCTTGAAGGCTCCTCTTTTCTGGTACTGGACATAAAATCATCACCAGGAGCGCTTTCTACGCTGTTAGTTGTGGTTTGTAAAACAACGGTTTCATCACTTGGTTTACTGGATGAACCTCTCGACGAACGACTAGTGGTATCGGAAACWACGGTTTGGTCACTCGCTCCCCCGGTTGATCCCCTTGGAGGACGACGATTATTGTCTAGAAACCTCTCCCCTTCGGCATAGCTAACATACATGGAGTGAGGACGAGAACTCCTTCTGGGCTTATCGTCAACTTCCATGATCAATGTCGTCGAAGCCGTTTCATTGTTGATCATGTTGGCCTGTCTTTCTCTGAGTTCTTGTATTTGACTTTCGTACTTGGCTACCAGTTTTTCCATGTTTTGCTCTCTATTCATCAGAATCTCCTTTTCATTCTGTAGGTCTGCAATTTGCATCTTGTACCTGTTGGCTTCCTCGTAGATCTTGTTCTCCATGGCAATCTTCTCAGCTGAAAGAGCCTCTACTTCATCTTGCAGAGCGTCATTTTCCTTCCTGTATTCAGAAATAGACTCTCGTCCTATTTCTACTTCTTTCTTTAGGCCCTGAAGCTCTATGTCTAGGCTTGTGTTCTCAGCTTTCAGTGTCTCGATGACCTCCATTTTAGCTTTGTCAGCTTTACGGTAGACCTCGCTCTTGTCTTTAATCTCAGCCAAGTGGATTTCTAGTTCACCCGAACCAGTTCCCTTGCCAGCATGCAGATAAAGCTCTCTCTTCAGACGATCTATTTCGCTATCCCTCTCAGTAATTTGTTGTTCAAGTGATTCGATTCTTCTCTCCAGKGTGTTGATTCTGGAGATTTTCTCGGAATCGCTGAGTGCTAATCTGCCGGAATCAGATGATGTTCCCAGTTTTTCAAGAAGATCTTTTATTTCGTCTTCAAGTTCCTGGATTCTCGCTTCAAATTTCTTACAATCCTCRTCCATTTTCTCGCATTTGGACTGATGGAAAATCATATCTTCTCTTAGAATGGCATTCTTTCTTTCCATTTCATCTTTGTCATTCTCGGCTTCGTATGCCCGATCCTCAGCAGATTTCAACGAAATCTGTAGCTCTGATAACTTCTTCTGAAGATTAACATAATCCCTTTGCAGGTCTCCATCGTCTCGTTTTGATTTACGCTTTTCTATAGGACGTCGTGAGCTGGCTAATTGCCTTTCATAGCTGGCAATCTTTCTCTGTAGTTGTTCATTACTTGCTTCAAGCTCTGATACCTTTGGRCTTAGATCCTTCAACTCCAGCAGAAGTGTCTCTTTCTCTTGCTTCAAGGATTCATTGTCGGTCCTCTGCTCTATAAACTTCTGGTGTGCGATTTCTTTTTCATAATTGGCATTGTCTCGAGCCGTCTTCAGGTTCTTGTTTTCAGTTTCAAGTTGCGATATCCCTTTTCTTGCTTCAACTAGTGTATCCTCCACTTGGCTCTTTTCTTTCTTGTGCTGAAGAATTTCATCATCTAAATGGCGAAGCCTATTCTCTGCGCTTTCCTTTTCAAGTTTCATTTGGTCACGATCTCTTACTGCACCATCATACTCATCAAAATTAAATGGTAACTCACTTTCAACCGTCTCAACTGTTGCCACTTGTATTGGRGCAATATCTTGATTGTTTAGCTTGTTTTTAAGGTGTTCGTTTTCATCAGAAAGCTTCAGGCGCTCGGCTTCGAGTTGCTCTAGTTGTTCTCTTGCTTCAGTGGCTTCCATATTGGCTTGAGTTAGTTCAACCTGCAGTCGCTGTACCTGAAATCGCAGGTCATTTCTTTCACTTGCTATCACTTCCTTTTGAGAGACATTGTCTGCGACTTCGTCACGTAAACGTCGAATTTGCCTGTCCAAGTCACCCTTTTCAGTCTCCAACAGRTCTTTGTTGTATTTGTGCTCTGTAGATTCCATTATGACGTTATTATAATTCTGCTGTGCTTCCCATGTATCTTTCTTCAATTTGGCCAACTCTTCTTTCAGTTTGTCGTTCATCTTATTTGTCTCATCCTTTAACGTACGCTGATGGTCAATTTCATTTTTAAATCTTGCTACATCGTCTTGCAAGTCCCACAGCTGGCTTTTGTACACTTGAGCGTCTTTGGTTGCTTTCTTCATAGACTCGGTTGCTCTCTTAAGACGCGCTTCCAACTCAGATATTTGTGTTTGAGCTTTCACATGATCAGAATACCCACCATCGGTTTCATCGTCAGTTTCATTCATGGATGCTTCAATTGATTCTAACCTTCTTTCCGCTTCACGAAGTTCTTCATTTAGATCTTCGATGGTTTTTTCAAGGCTTTCTTTCTGTTTCAAAAGACGGTCATTCTTGTGTTCAAGATTCTGGACATCTTGTTGAAGACCTTGTACTTTCTTTCTCCATTCTATCATTTCCGCTTTGTCTGCTCTATGTCCGTCTTGTGTTTGCTTCAAGATGTTTTCTAGCTCAATGATCCTGTTATCGCGGCAGCTTATCTCATGTTCTAAGGCCTCCCTTGTTTTCATTTGCTCAGAAAGAGCAGTTTCTGCTCTTGCATGGTTTTTACGGTGCGCAAAAGTCTCGTTTTTGGCATCTTCCTTCTCGCGTAAGGCAGCTTGATACTTGGATTCAAGCTCATTCATCTTTTTGAGGTTAACTACTTCTTTTCCTTTGCTTACCCTCTGCGACTGCAAAGACGCTAATTGCACTGACACATTTTCGTACTTCTTGGAGAGGATAGTTAATTCATTCTTCAGTCGAGACTTCTCGTGCTTCAGCGCGTCAATTTGGATCTTTAACGATGAAATCTCTTTAGTAGTATCTGTCTGCTGTTTCCTGAACTTCGATTTTTCGTCCTCAAGACCTTCTATTTTAGCTTCTAACTGACTGTTAGATTGATTMAGGGAAACCATCTTTAGTTGAAGTCTCTCTATCTCCTTTTGGGAGTTAGAGTAATTGGTTCTGTATTCATCTGTTTCGGATTTCTGATTTTTCAGTGCATTTTTCAGGCGGTCATTTTCCTTCAGCAAAGCGTCTGAATTGTCAAAAGCATTTATCTTGGTTTCTTTGTCTCTTAACAGAAGTTGAAGTCTCGATACTTCCTCTTGACTTTTTTGCAGATCGGTTCTATACTTGTCAACTTTGGTCTTTAGTTTATCGAGCTCGTACTGATTGCTTGATGGTGCATTGGATAGGACCTCCACAGTGTTTCCTTTCAAACTATCGATGATCTCTTGCAATTCAACATTTCTTTTCTTGAGTGATGTTATCTCGGTTTTTTCCTTTTTGATCGTGCTATTGGCATCATTCAAATCTGACTTCAAATTTGCCTTTTCTTTCTTGATGTCCTTAAGAAGTTTTTCCAATTCAGAGATTCTGTCATCTGCTTCTTTAAGGCTTGCTCTATCGCTTTCAATTCTTTGCTTCAGCTTCTCATTTTCAATTTCAAGATTGGCACTGTATTCTTTTGATTTGAAAAGACTCTTGTCGATTGCCTCTTTCTTGTTGTGAAGGTCAGTGAGTTGCCTTTGCAGCCCCAATATATCTCTCCTCAGTTTTGCAATGTCATTCTTCTGTACATCGTTTTCGTTTCGCAACATTTCAACAAGGTTATCTTTAGCAATGGAATCGTTAGAGGAATTCAGCAGAACTTCTAATTCATGAAGGCGCTTCTTTAAGGCTACTAATTCATCTTCCCTGTCATTTAATTGAGCAGTCCTCTCGTCAAGCTGTCTTCTCAGATCGTTTCGCAGTGACTTTTCTTGGTCTAGTTGTATCTCTATATTTCCCAGGTTGCTTTGCATGTTATCCAAGTCATCTTTCATTTGCTCGTTATCTCTTAGAGTAGAGTCGTATTTTTCCATCATAGGCTTTGCCTCTTTTTTGAGTGCATCAAGTTCCTTCCTTAACTCCTCATTTTTGGTTTCGCTGTACTTCAGTTTAGTTTCCATCCTTGRYAGTTTTCCTTCTCCTTCAGTGATGAGCTCATTGAGCCTGTTGTTTTTATCAATCACTGACTCCCCTTCTCTGATACGTTTCTTTAATCCTACGTTTTCATCTTGAAGACGTTTGATTTCATCGCTATCGCCGAAGTCCATCATAGGTGAAGATTCAACCACTGCCTGAACGTGTTGGACTTCAGTTGGCTGAATTACTGTAACTTGATTACTTTGGTCAGCAAGTTGTCTCCTAAGATCTGCAATGGTTTCTTCAAGTCCTCTCTTTGATTCTCGAAGTTCATCCATGTATTTTTCATCTTTTTCTGAATCATCTATTAAAGTCTGTATTTTGTCCTCTAGTTCTTTATACTTCCTCTGACCCATCGTCAATTCGTCTTTGAGGTTCTGGATCTCGGTGTTCTGCTCTTCAATTTCATCATCCGACTGTTCTAAGCGTTTCTTCCCTTCAGCAAGCCTGTCTTCGAGTTCCTTAAGCCTTTCCATAGCATCCTTGATATCTTCATTTAATCGATCCCTCTCCTTACTGAGTACTTGATTATCAGCCTTGAGTCTGTTTATGGTGTTTTCCTTGGTAAGGTTGCTCTCCAGAAGGCTGTTACGCTCATCTTTAAGTTTCTCGTTTTCTTCTCGCTGAAAACTGAGGCTGTCATTTAGAGAATGAAGCTGGTCTTCAAGGAATTTCAAGGAATCTCTGAGTTTYTCAAGATGCTCTTCTCTGTAATGCTTGTCAGTGGTTAAACCTTGAACTGCAAGGCGATGCTCTACAATATTCTCTTCTGCTTTCAATATCTCTTCTTGACTTGCGCGTAGTTTGTTCATTGCATCGTCATATTGCTTTTGCAATGATCGTCTCTCTGATTCTTCATTTTCAGCTTTTTGCTCATAAAAGGACCATTTGTTGGTGGCCTCGATGGCATCTTTCTTAAAGTCATCTCTCTCGCGCTGCGCACGGTGAAGACTTTGTTCAAGGTCGTGGTACTTTCTTTGAAGCATTGCGAGCTCATGTTCCATTTCGGAGCAGCGYTCATTGGACTTCCTCTTTTCAATTTCTAGCTGCGATACCTTTGATAATAAATGCAATATATTCAATTATTTTGTAAAGTAAAAAAAATACTCACGATTAATGATTAAAGACTCTAAAGCGCGCTTACTATGTAACCTACATGCTTCAGCTTTTTAGCACTATACTTTAGTTTGAAAATGAGCTTATAGCTTTGGAGTCGTCAAAGCTGTCGTAGTAACAGGCGTCAGTATAATTATGATTTATTTTCATATCTTAAAGCAATAAAATCAACAAAAATATACGATAACTACAGCGAGATTAAGGAAATAATCAGTTAAGAGGCGTCTTACCTTGTTGCTTCTCTGCTCAACCTCGTGCCTTAGACTGCTTTCACGTTCCTTGCTTGATTGGTACAGTGTCTCTAGTTCATCTAACCTTCCGTCTGGTTCCGATTGGAGTGGTTCCTGGAACATCATTGGTGCCGATTCTACAACAGCAACGTTCACTGGTGCAGGAATATTCACAGAAGCCTCCAATTGTGCCAGAAGCTCGTTTATTTTTTCTCTATTGACATCGTTGGCATGCTTTTCGGCTTCCAATTCTTTGCGAACAGAATTAATCTCGTCTTCATAGCTTTTGTTCTTCCTCTTCAACGTAGTGTAGTTTGACTCTATCTCTTTGAGTTTACTATTGAGATCATCTATCATGCGGTCCTTCTCTCTGACCTGGTTGTTAGCCTGGATGAGGTCGTTTTTCAGTCTACGAAGTTTTGCTTGAGATGCCTCGCTATCACTTTGATAGTAGGTTTTATCTTTTTCAATCGATCCAACCTTGGTATTAAGGTTACTTAGTTTGTATGACATCGAGCTTAGGTCACRTTCAATGACTTCACGATGATCCCGAAGATCTCCAATCTCACGCTCCAGGTCGGCTTGTCTTGCTTTTAAGTCAGCAATGATTCTCTCTTGCTCTTGATTCTTTGCTCTCAGGCTGTCATTTGCAAAAGTGCTTTCTGAAAGTTTTCTTGAAACTCTTTCAAGTTCAGCTTCACAYTTRTTTAARTTTCCTTTAAGATCATCGATTGTCAGTTCGTGTTTCTTCACCATCTTMCCAAGAGACGTGTTTGCTTTGCGCTCTTCCATCAGTTCCATCTCGGCGTTGTGGAGGTCRTCCTTTGCCAGGCGAAGTCTATCGTTTGCTTCCTGCAGCTGCGATGATAGAGTGTCCTTTTTCAAAGTCAGAGCTTCTCCTTTAGCTTCCAGTTTTCCTACAGCGGGGCGAAGACTTGTCAATTCTTCTTCCATTACTTCTTTCTTTCCTGACAACTCTCTCAATTCCCTCTCCAAAACCATACACTTTTTCTTGTAATCAGCGAGAAGTTTTTCAGCTTCATCGTCATGGATTCCACGGCTGTCGAGTTCACGTTGCAGATGCGCAATTCTATCATCCTTGTCAAGCATCTCATTCTTCAAGAAGTTGATAGTTTGTTTTTGGCTGTCGTTCTCTCTTTCCAACGAATACACCTTTTGCCTTAGAGAGGACAACTGTCCTTCAAGATCTTGAACCTTTGTAACATTCAGGTCAAACGATGGTCGTACAGAAACGGTTTTGCCGGTTCCAGTATTAAGTGACTTGAATTTTTCAAGGAGACCAGCCAGCTGAATTTCTGCATCGTTTCGTTCTTTGGTGGTGCGGTCTAGTATGCCATTCAAACGATCGATTTCAGCATTTTTCAATTCTACGCTGTGTTCAAGTCTCTTGATATCTTCTTCTACCGTCTTGAACCTTGAGTTGGAATCTTCGAGGTCTTTTTTTGTTTCGTAAAGATCCTCGTTAAGGTCGGAAACCTCGTCTCTTAGACGCTTGATAGTAGCATCTTTAGACGTCAACTCCTTCCGCAGGCCATCAACCTCCCCTCGCAGCTCCATTAGCTCTTTCTTTGACATAACAGCGTCATCACGGTGTCGGTTGCCTTTACTTGACAAGTCTGCAGATTGGCTTTCGAAAACGCTTTTTTCTTGATTAACCTTAAGCAGTTCATCCTTGAGCTTATCGATGCGCTGCAATAACGTAGCGTTTTCATCTTCAAGATGCCGTCGATCTTTCTCTGACTCGGACAGCTTGGCCTCTAGTTCGGATATTCTTCGATGCAGGCCTCTCGCTTCAATACTGACGTTTTCAGTGTCGTCTTGACTGAGTTTGATATCGGCTTCAAGGTCACCCAGCCTCTTCAGGAGATCTCGATTTTCCTCTTGAAGCTTTTCTTTCTCTAAAATCAAATACTCATATTTACCATTCAAGGTAAAGACTTCCTCCTCCCGATCTGAAATTATCTTGTCATAGTTGGCTGACTTTGCTCTTAAGTCGTCAATGAGTTTGTCTTTCTTCGCCAGATCTTTCTTTAGGTTTTCAACATCTTTCTCTGAGTTTTCCAATTGGGTGGTGAGACGCTTAATTTCACTCTGAAGCCTTGATAACTTGCCCTTTTCACCTTCCAGTTCGGCAGCTCCAATGCTTCTGTGACGAAGAGCGTTCTCCAGCTCACATTCCAGCTTAGTGATCTGACCTGTGAAAAAAATATAACATTATAAGATTGGTTTTACGCAATATAGCGCAATATTGATCAATAACAAGCTTGTTTTTTCAGCAGATTACCTTTAGAATTCCCGAGTTTGACTTGCAAGTCGCTGTTCTCTACTTCGTGATGATGAAGGAGATCTTCAAGCTCCTTAATTTTGTGATTGGCACGCTCAAGTTCCTCTGAGTCGACTGCAAACAAGTCACCAGAAGCCGGCCCTGCTTCCACGTTCTGGACATTATCCACTGAGATGACTTCATAGGACTTTTCTGTTGGCGTATTTTTAGCAAGCTCAAGATCTTTTTCCAGTTCGATGATTCTATTTCTCATGCGAATATGCTCTTGTTCTAGCTCGTTGCACTTGGTCTTCATCTTGGATTCACTGTAGTGAAGACTGTCCTTGTTGTTTTGAAGCTTCTCATATCGATCCTTGTTCCTGCGCAGTTCATGCTCGTAATCAGAAACTTTTGCACTTAACCTATCAATCTCTCTATTGGCCATCTTTAGATCGGCTTGAAACTTATCTGAAGCTGTGACTGATGAAGTTAGCTCGCTTTGAAGACTTTCTTTTTCTGCTCTAAGTTTTGCCTCCATAGTGATGTATACATTGAGCTCTTGCTGAACGTGGCTGACCTTATTTTCCAAGACCTCGATGGTTGCGTCTCGTTTTTCTAGAAGGACTGTGAGTTTGGCAAGCTCCCCCTCAGAATACACTGCCCTCTTGTGGTTGGTTCTCGCTTCGATCTCTTTGTTATTGCACTCGTCATGAGATTTCTTCAGTTTGTCGTTCAATTCAATGATCTTACTCTCCTTTTCATCGATCAACTTAGTCTGGTGGGCGATCTGAGACTCAAATTTGACAGATTGTAGCTGCCAGGTTTTCTTCACAGACTCTAGTTCCTTGATTTTGGTATCTCTCTCGTCGCACACCTCGTAGTACCTTGTCTCAAGTCTTTGCAGATCTTCAAAAACTTCCTAAAGCATAAATGAAATAATAACGATATGAAAATTGTCCACGATAGCTAGTAATCTTCTATTCCAGTCTTGGTTTCCTTCGACCCGCTACAGAACTCGTGGAGAAAGAGTATTAGTGGGGATTCTAAAATGTGCCAGATCTGAACTAAAAATTATCCAGCCGAACGGCAAAGAAACCATTAAAAAAGAGGAATTGCAGCCAAAAATGCATTCATTCGTTCAATTAAACAAGAACGTTAGATACCTAAAAATACAAGTTTTCAGTTTGATATCTATACATCAACCAACCTTCTTTGACTCAACAACATCGTTGTAGCTTTTTTCCAAGGTCAAGAAACTCTGCCTCGTGTCCTCATTTTGGTACGACATGGCTACTGCGATGGCTTCAAAGCCTGTTCGTCAGTGTACACTTTAAGGCGTCTTTGAAAATAAAATAATATTTGTCTTTATTAATGGTTTTACTATTCAATATTTCCTTTGAGATATTAGTTCAGTGGTGGTTCCAGCTGTTGGTGCAGGGTGAGCGCACTACTTCCCGAGACAAAAATGAATAACTGAAATTCCTCTAAGCAATGGTACGTCGTGAAAAACTCCTTATTAATACTTATTAATGGCCTCCTGTCCATCGGGGACAAGTAGTGGTTTAATGGGATCAATATATATATATAAAGAATCTCAAAAGGTTTTTGTGAAATTTTTTAACCGTCTAATACACCACTGAAGCTTTTACGTCATATACCGTGTATACGAAATGCGTTGTTTGGTATAGAACATGGAGATTTTCTTTTGTTTTATCTAGAAACTGATTCCAAAATAAATTGAAAATCAAATATTGACGTAAAAGGTATATTACGATGCAGAAAAGAAGCTCAGCAGAGTCATATAAAAGATATAATATAATAATGTAATACAAAACCCAGAGATTAATTGTGTAATCAATTAACAAAATATAACTTCTCTGTAATATCCTAATATCCCTTTTGAATTATTAAATTTGAGGGTTTTTTCCGTTTTGTCGCTATATCGTCCGCCATGAAAAAGCCATTTAATAGAACTCAGTTTTTGATATTCTATCAAATGACTGCGTTTACTACGAATGAGTGAGTGATGCTACTCTCAAGACTGGCTGATTTTTGCACAGTGGGTGTTRGAAACCTTTTGTCTCACGCTGTCACACAGATAATAGACCAAAACGCGTAAACAATTGACAGTTATAGCACGATATCGAGTCTTATCTATGTTGACATGAACGACGGTGCTTTAACGAGTTAGCAGGAAAGACCAGATTAAGCGAATCATTGCTAATTGTCTCGTATTTAAACAAGAAGGAATTTTTTGTTCTGATAATACTTGGATTTTGTCTTCGTTTAATAAAATGCTAGTGTAGAGCCCAAACGCAATACATTTACCCMCCAAATCTAGTCGCCATTTTGTTTTCCATATTTGCGCGATAGCCACAAGGTCGAGTGGTCTCAAGTTGATAGTCCATGAGTCTGTACTCGACAGAGTGGACTATCTTATCGTAGTTTGCGAGACAGAGCGCTCTAATACTCCAATTTCGAGTTCTGGTTTGCTCTGTGTTAGCCTCAAAACCAAGTAACATATTCTTTTGTTTCATTGATAGCTCGAGAAAACGCATGGAATTTTGTGAAGAAAGACAATAAATTTAATTTGAAATCTCACACTTTTATTCTCACAATAAGGAATATTTTGCGCACAGATGAGGCTAACACAGAGCATTGTAGAATTCGAAACTGGAGTATTGTTTTAATATACGGCATCATTCGATGTAACCATGGTCTATTCATGAATGGACCTTAGTTTGTAGCCAATCACAATGTAGGATTTCTGATAGAAAATAATAATATTCCATAATATTTGGAATAGCCTACTAACACAACAACCAATCAGAGCGCGAGTTTACTTCTATCTATTGGTTGTGAATATAAATGAATTCGACATGGTTAGTGATCTCATTCACCTCARAATGAAACAATTAAAATTGAAACAATGAAATCGCTGAAGTGTTGCACTAAAAGTTAAAAACTTCAAATGCAATGGATATTTTGCGTGATATTGCCTCACTGCTCATATCGATTAATTATTTTATCAGCTCTTGTGATTGATAGTCACTATACATTGCGTATTGTATTGTTCTTATCATGCACAAAGTTATTCAAACAACATACTAATTCAAATTTGATAGTTTAAACAAAAGGAAACAATCAAGAAATTAAATCAAATTTGTTTTAAACTGGTTGGTTTTCTAAACTGTGTTTCATTGATCCATATAAAGTGTTAATATCGATGCAAACCCTCTCACTTATTTCTAGTAAATTTCAAGGGAACAAAAGCTTACGTGAATGACATATTTGAAATTGATTTTTCATGTAAACAATACATTCCAATCATGTATTCTGCCAAGTTTAAATTCAGTCACGAAATTTCTCTAATCCAAGCTAAGATGGAAAGAAAAATTAATGAAATTGTTCTACCCCATACGAAACAAAATCGATTCTACTTGTTATCGGAAGTGTATTTATGAAAATATAAAGTGTGACTATCAGACGAAGTACTGTACCATACATTAGCCTGATACAAAATCTCAAACGATTATTTCTATAATATAGATAATATCTATAATATTATTGTGAAATAATAATTTTTCCCAACGGTGATATCAGTCCATACCATCGCCTAGACTCTCGAGACAATATATGTTTGGTAAACTTTGAAGGACTTTAAAGATTTTGAGATTTCTATGATCTCTCTCAATCAATAAGATATTGCACTTTGACGGATTTTGCAATAATTGGAATCAACTAGTWTATCACCGCGTTAATTATAATGAAACTTAAATATTGCCTTTAAATGTTTATAGACGAGCAACGCCCATAATTTGCACAAGAAATGCAAAATATMAACTAATACTAAATAAACTAACATTAAACAGTGAATTCATATTCTCAATGTACTTACAGATGCAATCTGTAGTTCAACAATGGAATTTCTTGCAAACTTTACCAATCTCTAGGTTAATCTTTCCAATACACGCGAAATTAGCGTCCTTGTTCCCTGCTTCTTGGGGCCAAGAGCGCAGGAATGAAGGAGTGCTTTCTGGTTGACTTCTACATGTACGATAACATGGCTTCTGATTGGTGGGATTGTCTCCATTGGTGGTAAGTTGATGTTTGAATTAGCCTACGAGACAATAGATTGCTCCTATTTTGTATTGTTTGGGTAAATGTTTGAGTCTTAATTATGAAATCGACGCCATGGGTTTTTGATAAGCAATATTTTACCACACCGAACAACTTGACCATCGGATKGAAATTCAACCACCCTCATTTTGACTAAAAGTCAGTTCCCAAGACGTATTATTTGGAAGGAAAATAAACTTTGGTCAATTTCTATTGATTMATATTTTCATTTATAGGAATTCAATGAATATCACATCAGTTGGTGGTAGCAATGAGTATAGCCGTCTTATAATTTTTATAATTTTTCGTATGTTAGTCAGCGTGTACACTTATTTTATAATATAAACAGCATATTTGCAAAGACGTATTAATACTGATATATGTTCTTACAAAAATGAGTATAAAACGTTTATAGCTTCTTATCAAATTGGAAACACCGCTAGTGGAATTCATGATACTTAACTTGCACTTAAATTATAACTTATTATAATTACTTTATAAACACACACACATAATCAATATTATAAACAAGTTTGTAGCTTGTATATATAGATACAGTGTTTAATGATTTTGAWCTTGTCTGATGAGGAAGAGTCGCCATATTCCATAGTTTTCCATTGTATCTATGTTACCTCATCCTTCCAGAATATTTGCATTTCTAATATTCCTATTTTACTAAAAGACTTAATATAATTCTAAACAATAGTTCACTAAAAACCAGTATAAYTAACAAGGAAACATTCACTTGAAAATTGAGGCAAAGTGATTACAATACAAAATAAGTTCAGGAATCGGTGACTTRTGGCGTATTTCAACTATCTATGAACAACTTTCAATTTCGCAATATTCGTTCTGCTTCATAATTTTCAATGTTTATCAGTGAAGTTGCCTGGAGTGTAGGAATTTTTCATGTTGAGACAGTTGTGGTTTTGCTTCGCATGATTTCAGAATGTAATAAATGGCCGATTCAGAAGATTCCAGTACTAGGGGGAGGTATTCAGGCATTATTCGTACGGTACACGTATTAAATTGATAATATAAGGAATTGTGCAAACTCGTCAGCTTCTAATGAGTTAATTTTTCTGACTATTTGCAAATCTCTTTGTGATATCACGATACTTTGCAGCGTTTTGAATCATYGACGATCCATTGAGACGACCCCTGTGTATAYCTAACGACTGTTTACTAAGCCGAATGTTTGTTGATTATATAACATACAAATAAATCTAGAAATCTCAATTCTACTGAAGAAATTCTAAAAACGGAAAACTAGCTACCACAATGACCTACGGGTAATAACATATAGATCAGACGTTCAGAATTATGATGAGTTGATAATTATTCCCAGACCGATTCAATAACTCCGCTCCAGGTTTCTCACTGTCAAAAAWTTGAGCTGATAAGAGAAAACTAGGACTTACAAGATAATTTGGATTACAAGCTGAACCCTGAACCCTYAACGCTGTTCATATCATATTTTCGTTATTATGCTTGGTGTATAACTTATAGATCAAGTGTAGAAAGTATGCAAAAACATCGATGATAATTTGGTAAAGGTTTTCTTATATTTTGCACTATTGTTATTATATTGATTTGTTTTACGTTTTACTTCTGTAACTTATAGTGCAAATACTATAACCTTAAAATATCMCTCGTGCTTGTTATTTATTTCCGGGTTCAATCTACACTCACGAATGAACCAAAATTGCGCATGGATAACACTCTAGTTTCTTTCATTTCTTTAACCTCCCCTGCCCCTGAATTAGTGTTACCTCTCGTTAGGGGAGGACCTGTATCTTTTACATTGAGGACTACCATTGAGGACTGAGGGTAGCAGTGGCTTTAATTTGTAAAGATATTAGTCTTAAAAGTGAAAATACTCCATTAAAACAGGGGAGAACACATTATGTCGGCTKTTGTCTGATACGGTCAGTCAACTTTAACTTAGGTTTTCAGCTCATTTAGCCCTAATGTTACCGGCCGATTGTCMGTCTAGATATTCGCTCTTGTAACCAGAATATTTGGTTATTTCACAAACTCACTTTTCTGAATTTCTGAATCAGGAATGCTATGACTCATCACGTTACGTGTTAAACGGCTTTTTATCTCAAAATATCGTGGGGTTTTTATCGCTAGTCTTTCTGTACAAACGTTTATGTTTGTTACTGCTGTGAATAAAAAAGTTATTTTTAGCTTTTAAAACATGGAAAACATTTGATTGCGCGTCATTTTGCGATGCTTATCGCTAAACGCGAATGCCACTTCTTTGAATCGTTCTTTATCGTAGCCGGCGGACAAAGCATTACAAATAGGAAGTACGGAGCGTGCTGGGCTCAAGTCAGGTTTAACACACTTCAAGCTGCATGTCGATCTTATCATTGAAGAACATAACTAGGGKAGACACAACCCGTCAATTACGATTATATTATTTTTTAGAATCCCATTTTTCGTACTCTTTTACATCAAGTTACCCCTGTGTCTGAATTTCACACAGATTCAATACTTAATAATCCCTTTTGACCTACTCTTCTCTCCCGTACTATTCCTTTGAACGATTAAGAATTAGATGATAGTCCAGATGTCATTTTTAAGTAGTTTTAATAGGGTCTTTTGTTATCAACAAGGCTCTAATAGAACAAGAAACACGAGACATAATAGTCATCAACGTTGATAATTGAAAAACAATGATTACGTGTTTAATAAGTTTAATAACTTGAATGCAATAAGAATACTATAAACACCACATACAGCAAAACTGGTTTTTGAATATAATTGCTTTTAGAAGTGTTAATACTGTTCTTTATCTATAAATGTGCTGTTTTAATCTTATCACATCGAGGCCTATCATTTATATCAAGACGCGTTCAGTAAAACAGGTTTTATTAGAAATATGTTTAAGTCAAAACGATGGAAACATTATTTTTCTAAAGACTGCAATGTGTTTAGAGACAAATATMTCTAACCACTTTTAGTTTCCATTTACACCTCTTTCCGGAGTACTTAAACTTAAATACCGGCGTTTGCTTAACAAATACCTGTGGATGGGTTTTGACTTTTTAAAGATGGTTGAGAAAATTCTTAAAACATGTGCAAGAGGGCATTTATTGGAGTGAACGAAAGTTGTACTGCAAACAATATTCGATGGATCCAATTCCCGATTTTCTTGTTTRACATAATTCTCCATGTTTTTCTTTCAAATGACCATGTAGCAATATAGACTTCAGTGATTCTTTGGGATCCGGATTAATTAAGATAAGTCACTGCAGCTGTTTTTTGACCAAACCCCAGTCATTTCATTTATCGTACTCATAGCCTTAAAATAAACCTAAGGATTTGACTTTTGGATCAGTTATAATAATAAAATGAAACTTTAAACGACGCCATTTTCATAATTGATCGGCGTTACCATGACAACGATAAAATTTTTGTTGTTGTTGTTGAAAACTGTTTTTTTTTTTTTTTCCTTAGAATTTTCACATGGTAACTAGACAAGTGGATGATAAAAGCATTAACTTCAGAGTATCACGAAACTACATTTAAAAGAAATTCAGTCTGGTATCGAATAATTCGAAAAAGTACTCCCAAACTCATTTGACTCTAAAATCAAGTATATAGATGTAATTTTAGTAAATTAAAATATGTTCAATCAAAATGAGTCAGTACATTTTATCAGTAATTATAGAGTATGTTATACGCTATACTGCAAAGCCATATCAACCTAAGGCTATTCTCGATGTAATCTATGAAATTGAATTTTCTTTATAGCWAGACCTGGCAGCCCAGAGAGCTTTTTTTCAAGATTTTACAATATTTTTTCAATATTTCGGATACATTAATGGATACAATTGACAAATTGAATCTTCATACTGAACTTCTCTCTGACCCTCTTTGGCCAGTCAGTCAGTTCTGACAAATGGAAAGCGCTCTAAAAGAGCTGTCAGCGAAAGGTGTAAACAAAAGTATCAACTGTAAAAATGCAAAAAGAATGTCTTTCGTATATAACTGTTTATCTACTTAAGGRTTTTTCGCTAAGTACACACCTTTATATACTAGATTTAATACCCCATGAAAAGAACTTTCCCATAGATAGATTATCCCGATATTTACTTTGACATCAACACTAAAGATTATTTCTCTCAAAAGATAAACATCTAATGTATCTTTTGATAGGGTGACGTACTTTTTCAAGCCTTTGAAATTAAACTTTTAAGGATGAATATTTAAAGAAAAAATTCGGCTTCGTCRGAACTCGGATCTCAAAACGAATTTTTTCGTCTGTGATGGTCRTCTTTCTTACCATTTCWTCTCTAAACAAACTCTTTCAGAGCGCTTCAAGGTTATATTTTAGATAGCGCGGGAGTTATTCCTTTTTTCTAGCAGATGTTAATGTTTACGCGGGGTTGTGGTGTGTAGGAGGGTAGCAGATTTGAACGGGTTCAACTATAACGCCAGAGTTAATGACTTGATTTCCGTTCKGAGATCTCCTCAAAGTTAAACCATCTCAATATTAAAGGAGAGTTCTCAATGTTTGTCCATATATTCGTTGTTGACAGATTTAAATTTCCWTTTCGATAATTAACCTGGAAAAGAAGGCAATAATTCCTGGGTATAAGAAAGCCTTATGTTTTCGCTATAACTGAAACTGCCGGAACTTATGTGGAAAAGTGTTTAAAAAGTGCAATTATTTCAATGCCAACTTTTTAGATTTCTGAGCATTTRTTTTTGAGTCAATACACCCTGAAGACAGTTTAAACTGAAAAAAAAATTATAACAACCATCGCAGACAGAGTGAGTTCTTTATGACACCTTTTGAACAGCTACAGCGAAGACATTGTACTTTTATGTCATAAATACAAGGCTACTTTCTCACATAACGTTGTTTGGAAATCTCTACGTTTGGTCCTGGGCTGGTTTATACTTGATCTGCTGTTCAAACGTATTGACTATATCACCGGAAGATCTTCTTAACATAGTCAAAATTGTTTGTTTAAATAGCTTGATTTTTGTGACTTTTCCGGCGATGTGAGGGGCCACTTGAAARTTGGAAAGTTAACACACACTATCGTATTGTGGTAAGCTTCTTTAACAAGCGCGCTTTTAGCACTTTATTTACAATATCTAATAGTTGTATTAGCTATGGAATTGAAATCAAATTTACAAGCGTTATCTCATGACTATAGGACTGACAGCTGTTTAGTTGAGATAAGAATAGGTACGTGAGCGCTTGGGTGCTTGTATATTGAAGGACTTCTACACGTCTCAATACTTAAGTGCTAAAATACTAGGCCAAAATAAGTAGTTGTTTATGGGAAAGGATAAAAAGATATATCAACAAACACAAAATAATGCATGAATTCATAAYCAGTATTGTTTGGTAATTCTTAAAAGTTTTTTTTTGTCAGTCTTTATAGTTTCTCCATACAAGAATGAATCACTCCTTAAAAAGAAACTAAGTTAGTGTCGTTTTTTTCTTCACCTTTCCTTTCTTTTGTTTCTTTTTATATRTATAAACTTGAATCAAGTAAATTAGAAGAGTAAACGTTTGGGAATTGTTTTGACTTCCGTTTTATTAAAAAAAACATATAATGGAGTCAGTTTCGAGGCTTTTTTTCATTAATTTACGTTCTCCATTCATTCTGAAAAAGCAYAAAACGCGTTTTAAAYGGATTAATTCACATTTCAAAATTAGTGGCAACTTTTTCTWTTTCGCTAGCCGTATACACGACTTGCACTTTTTCTGTTTATCTGATGAAAATTCTAAAGAAATTGGAATAAAACACTTAGTTTAATGATTCCCAAAATATAATAGAAATTTTAAAAACGATGCCCCGCTATCTAAACATCTATTGTACCGCCTACTTTGTGATACATCGGAATATTATTATTAATGCTAATTACTGGGCTAGAAAACACATATATAAGCACACTGACTTGGGTTAKACGACTTCATTTTCAGTACCTACAGCTCTACCTGCACAGATCAACTGTCAATACACTTATCGCTGGGGTACTCTCTCATTATCCCTGCGTGGCTTGCTTTAGCACTTGACAACGTAAGTAGTGCCTTTCGTCTTTGATTTCCGTTTGCATCATGATCTATCCAATGTATAATGTTAGGTTCCGTTTTATATTGTTTTTTGACCGTAGACTAAATATCGCTACCTAGTTATCTGATAAAAAGACAAAATTATAGCAACAGTAATGAATAGATATCTAAGACTAACTGTTGTAAAAGTTGACTTATTGAAGTTGTAAAAAAAACGAATGAAGTCCTATTCTACGAAAAATCATAGATTATTATACATTTACTGTCAAGTGATTTTTAGGATGGTTTCGGCTATTTCGACACCCCTTGGGCCCTTCCGTTACCGTTTTTGCTATAACTCCGCTCTTAGGAAGTTAGATATATACTTTATTGTGTTCTTTTGCCACTTCATCTGTTTATTTATAAATGAATCTATTTGTTCTTCGCCTTAAATTTATTTTTTTTAGTTTTGCGACTTGAAAATCCGCGTTTTTAGTCTCGGTGAAAACTCTAGTTTCRGCGACTTTATTCATCGAGCTACTGAAAGCGTGATGAGGAAACTAAGAAAATGTTATAAATCATTTWAGTAATATTCTTAATTAGTTTTCTTGGTGAGAGTTAGTATTTGTTTGTGTCTAGTGTTCAGGGACTGCAGTAATAACATGGTCAATATTATTAATTATACTGGATGAGAACGCTTGTAATGTTTATTAATCATGCGTATCAAATGTATTTCCTTGATAAATAGAGGATATTCCATGGACGCGTGGAGATACGTATTTTATCTTCGAATGTTTGAAAAGATCTCGAACGAGTGAGCGTAGTGAGAAMATAAGATAAAATTCGTATCTCCAAGCGACCATGAAATATTCTGTTAATCATATAACTATATATAATAGCAAATTATGTCGTAAAATATCTTTGTTTTATTTCCAATAGATATAATATAGAAACTTCAAATGTGTTACTAGTGAAAATAACAACTTTTCGAAAGAAAAATATAGGTATTTCATAGATTGTATGATGAATATCAATATCAGATATATAGTTCTCATGTAAAATTTTTCAATAAACCTCCCCTTGTTTTATAATACCACCCATTATAGTAAAATCCCTTATCACCTCACTGATCTTTTTTACAAATATCGGATGCCATAAATCATATATTCTGTCAACCTTTTAATGTATTAACTCTAAATTTTGAACTTTTTTTTCGCCAAAATTTATTGTGCTTTTTTTCCGTCAGCATTACCCAAGGTTTTAAAAAGTAAGTCGATATTAGTTATTACTTTTGTACAAACAAATCATTTAAACCAACAATGAAATTAAAACAAAAATCAAAATATTGCATCCAATATACTAATATCACAACTACACTTTTGCAATGTTTTTCATTGGATTGAAATTTCGCAAAAAAAATCTTTTTTTCTTAATTTAAAAAGAGGTTAAGTCCTTTATTTCCGTACTTGTCAGCTTTCTTATTTATTTAACTCTTTTCTTTTTGTCCTGTAACAAAAGCTCGCTTCCCCATCCATCCCGTGTAGCTGTCTAACACTAGTAAATACAAAAATGGCAGTTTCGAGAACATATATTATACAACGGCTAAGCATACCCASGGAAAGCAAACTTCGTCTGTTTTCGCAATAAAAAATCCACAATTAAGTTTGATAACGTGCGGTTCTCCTGAGTTTTAATCTCTCTTAAGATCTAAACAAAATATAATATTAAAATTTGTATTTATGTTATTAGATGTCCTATTCTGTGTTTTATAATAGCTGGGTCCAACACCGCTAATGACCATACATGTACTTTCTGCAACGAGRGGTAAGCGCTTCTTTCTAAAAGACATCAAACAACCGAAGTGATTTTCTCTGAGGAATATCGTGTTTGTCAACAAWTTTTTRATTTTTAAGAGAAAATGCGTTTTRATGTTACGAACAGATATTTATCTACCCTCTTGTTGTCTCACGAGTTGGGTAGACGTTTAAGTAGCTCTTCGTAGGGGACTAATTTAAGATTCAATTAGCAGTTTATCTAGAGACATACGATTATCGTCCAAATCCTTCTTTTCTTTCGTTAGGTCGCTCAATATTTCAACCGTCACGAATCTCATTCATTTTTTTATCATCAATTTCAAAATCAATTTGATTTTCCAAATCAATCAAACGATCTGTCTACCGATTCATAACTATTACCAGGCAAAGCAAGGTTGCCTAGTTCCTGGAAAACACTGATTTTATCCATGACAATCGAACATTAATGAACGTTTATTATCAAGAATATCTGGCATATCTCAGTTTAAGTCGGAATTCATTTGCAAACAACCGCAGCTTTCAATAATGGGGAAGATGCAGAAGTTGTGACTTTGTATAAACATACTCTCATTTTGCTCAGCGTCTTTACGGTAATTAAGCCATTTTTACCGCCCTTTTCGAAGCAGCGTGAGCGGTATTTTATTCAATCATTAATAGACGTTTAACGGTTGTTCCCGCTCTTTAATAAACGATGCGTGTGATGTTTTCAGTGTTATTGAGTCAATTTTGAACCGCCGTTCCCGCCTTTTTGCAACGACACGCAAATGTTGTTGCCACTAAATGGTACCAAAATGATACGACATTTCCCGTTCTTTTTACAATAGCCCCAGCCCGCGGCAGACAGCTGCAGTATTTTCARAGTAAAAATACAGAAAATAACGATGAAAGATGTTTATGTCCAACTGCTTTAGCATACCGAAWGAACAGTTGGCTCGTCTATAGACCACCTGTAAAACTAACTGTAAAACAGTTTATTGTAGGGGCGGACTTATTATGGCTTAATATAAAACAATAAAATTATTGTAATGGCGATTGTTAAGAGTGACATGTGTTGGATCGTATCCAGATAACGGTGTTATTTAACGGTTTTRCAATGCTTATATACATTATTGTAGTGATCATCGACAGCCGCGAAGGATGTCAAGACGAAGAAGCTTCYAATTGCTCTATATGCTGTTCGTCCTTCTTGGTAAGTAACCTTATTGAATGTATCTTTTCTAGTCATTCTTCCCAGCAGTAGTGTGTTTAAAATCCTTGTTATTTTTGACCATACATTATTTCTCACACAAAAAAAAATCAGATACTTCAGGAATAAACAAGAAACGTCAAATATGCCTTGCAATTAAAACCATGAAACAGAAAAAACGATTATCGCAAATCATGGAAAACCRATTCGAATTTACAAAATTTACATGKCCTTCATATACATTCAACATAATGAAATAATAGAAATTTTTTCGTGGTAGTTTCTTTTGAYACAAAAGTTCAAGGACAAAAAGACAAGGTACAGTAACTATTACTATTTGCATATTTATACTGGTCATAACTACTTTCTAGCTTGGTATATTGTCTATAGCTTTGCTTTTCTGCATAGAAACTGATCAYTGGACCTCGTGGTCCTTCCCTTAAAACGMTCCTTCCCTAGATTTTATTAAATATGCGTTTTGCTAGTGTTCTAATACTGTTTTAACTTTTCTTGAGGACAGACAGCAATATGGGAAAATGGCGTTTGCGAAAAAAACAGTTAATTATGGTGAAAAAAACAACAATTATGCCCGTTTGAAACACGCGCAAAATTATCTTGCACGTGCCGAAATCATTACAAAAAAACCCGACATGGTCTGCCGTCTGTTGATATTTGAATCAAAATCATTTGTTGCAGTATATGCCTCTGCACGAAAGAATGTCTGAACAAGAAAGACAAGACTTTTTTGGGATGGATAGTTCTGATGGTAAAATAGTGATAACAACTAAATAATCCACCCACTACCCATTACCCACTAATAAGCAACCACTAACCCACCCATTACCGACAAATACACAACCAACCAATAAACCAACCATTAACCACTAATAAACAARCACTCACCCAGCCATTATCTGTAAAAACACAACCACCCACCAACTCACCCATTACCCTCTAATAACCACCCACCCATCACCTACTGATAAACAACCACCCACCAACCTACCCATTACCCACTAATAAACAACCAACCATTACCTACTAACAAACAACCACTCACTCACCTATTACCCACAAAAACACAACCACCCACCAACCCACCCTTTACCCACTACATAAACACAACCAACCACTAAACCACCCATTACCTATTAATACGCAACCACCCACCCACCCATTATCTACTAATAAAAATACTTCCACTACCTACCCGTGTTGCTTTAGTTGGTCTATCCATTCAATGCCCCATTATCCTCACTTCTTGTTAACTCAATGGTTGTCATACAGTTCCAGAATACGACATTGTCCATCCGTATCGATCTGACGCCAAGGGTAAATTCTCCAGCTTTAAGCTACAGGATTCTTCACCAGATCACCATGACYAAAACAAATATTTCAGTATGAGAGGACTGGGCCATAATCTCCATCTTAAATTATCTAAAGCCGATGATATTCGAGTTTCTCATGCAAAGGTATCCATAATACAAGAAGATGGTTCCAAAGCTAGCCATGATCTGAAACAAGGCAATTATTATGAAGGACATGTTGTAAATCATCCTGGTTCTAAAGTAGTTCTTGCCCATGATGCAGAAGGATTGGTAAGATTAACTGATTATTGCCTGATGAAAAGTAGTGGTTTGCCTATAAATAAAATAGTTTGGTTTGGTGAGATTGTAAAACTAAGTGTAAATGTCTGAATGAATTTTTCTTTTTATTGCTGGATAGCTTCCGGTAGCAATTTTTGAATAAAATGACTTGTTTACTAACAAATCGCAATCAATTGACTATAAATCACTGAAATGCCTGAACATTTGAAGTAACAGAATTTGAGTGTATTAACTGGACGAAAGCCTGAYCGACCTACTGTCTCACTTGACAGATAATGGTCCCATACTAATTAAATGCATTTGCTTTTAAGATGGGTGCGATTCACCTTCCAGATGATTCCGTGTATATCAAACCTGTACCATCTCATCTAGAAAAGCATTATGGGAAACTTGGTGGTGCTAAGCCACACGTGATCCATCGACGCTCCTTTGATGACTTCAAGAAGCATCTACAAATCGATAAAGAAGATGGTACTCTAATGATATAAATCTTATAGCTGCCTGTTCACCTTAAAAATATAAAATAGTTMTTTTAAGACAGACAGGGGATTCGCTGAATTTGCACAAATTCTTTAAATTAAACTATGACATTGAATGCAAGCTCATTATTTTGAAATGCTGAATCAAAATTATTTCCTTCAGATCTAATAGAAGACGCAAAATTCCCCWCACAACCGAAATCACCTCCGATRGAAGCGCGTGCCACCAAAAGAGGAAGCGGATCTCCTTTYTATCTCGAGGTTCAACTTGTGGCTGACCAGTACTTTGTAGGCTCAAAAAAAACCGATGCAGAAATAGAAAAGGAGTTACTCACCATAGCTTATATTGTAAGTAGGTGCTTAATGTCCATTTAATCTTCTRTTATCTTTGATTCAGTAAGCTTAAGCTTAATTCTTTGTAAATAAATCGTTCCGAAGTGAATCCATTTTCCTCCTTGAATTCTTCCATTTATCTAGYTAATGCCCTGTCTTTATTACAAAGGCGTTTTAGAAGACCTTTTTAGCTCGATTGTAGAACTATCATGGTCGTGCCCATACGTACCAAGTTAGATTATCACTAAAAACCAACTCTAAAGCCCGCCATGTTTTCAAACCAGAACTCGCGCGCAATGCACACTGGAGCGTTATACACAGGGAGCCCAGTAATACATTAATCAAAAATTAAGTGATGTTTTAATAAGTACTCTGTTTCAGACAAGATCTTTCTATCATGATCCAAGTGTTGGGGAAAGAAAATTGACTATCGTGCTTAACGGAATAACCATAAAAAAAGATGTAAGTCATCATGCAAAAGTGCCATAATACCTTGTTTTTGCATCTAGCTATTATTAGTGGTCCAAGTCATGTAATTATAACAGTGGTTACAGTTGATGCACCGTGATTGACAGCGTTCATTTGGTTTCAGTTTGGCTTTAAAAAGGATGCATCATCTAACGAGCGTATAAGTGCTTTGCGTGGATATGTAAGCGGTGCCTTGCCATTGGACGACAGCGACCCGGCTCATCCTGATGTCTCTGTCTTATTGTCGGCGTACGTCTCCTAGAAGCAGAAATAATTATATTTCAGACTTTTTTTCGGTTCCTTCGTTTATGTGTCGGATAAACCACTATGTTGTGTTGTGTGTTAAGTAAGAGTCACCATCATAAACTGCCCTGTATCATTAGTTCCATCTAGCGGGATTCCTGTGTCAATGTTTATTTGACTGTTGCACTTATATATATTCAATATTTTCTAATTTGTGTAAAACTTATTCTTTTTACAGAGGATTTTCTGGAGGTAAGCAAAAACGCTTATGAACTGGTTTAGTTTTATAACATAAAAACTGAATAAGAGGCATTTCATCTTTGTTATCAATTCAATGTTCCCTWTTTTCAGGTCTAGCAGAAGTGGGATCAATCTGTTTAGTGCAGCGGTACGGTGTAGCTGTTTCCAACAACATGGGCTTGCAAAGTGCTCTCATAGTTGCACACGAAATCGCGCATGCGTAAGTTCTATTGTTCTATTTGAGAAACTTGAGCTTTGACAACAGGTTAATTAGWAATGAGGTATATTTTTTTGCTYTTGATCCGGATCAAAAGGCTTAAAACGTGTTCCTGATCCCAAAACTCCGTACATTTTGATCCCTGATCCCACAGAATCGTTTAAAAAAAACATATTGATCCCGTCCCAAAATAGTCCAAAAACTGACGCTGATTCCTGATCCCTATACCTCGGTACTAACCTGTGACAATGATTACTAAAGTGAGTACGAGTACCAAAATGAGTATCCTATCCTTTCCATCACCACTATGCGTCGCGACATTATTATTACTATAACGATCCGACATTAATTCCTCAGGCTTGGCGTTAAACAGCATGACACAGGACAAAAACCAGAATGCCCTCCCGGAACATTCATAATGGCTGTCTCAATATCTCCGGGGACAAACTCGTTCCGTTTCTCACCATGCACTAGAGACTTCTTCCAATCTATGTTTGGGTGAGCTCTTGTCATTATGGATTGTATCACGCATAATGCTGTAAAAGAATTTGTTTATTAATAATGCTTGATATTTGACCTGTAGAAGTGGCTCGTGTACAGCACTTAACGATGTTCCTGGAAAAAGTCTTCCTTTACCCAAAATCACCTTGCCAGGATTGATGTACGATGGAGATWCCCAATGTAAAATGATGTTTGACGACAGTTTTTCGTTGTGCCCTAAAAATATCGAGGTATGGCCTAGCATGTCATTGGTTAACTGACTAATACAATTATATTGTGTGCAACTTTTAGGACTATTTAGTACAAGTAGTATAGTAGTGGCAACGAAACAATAGACGTCGTGAAATACACGCTGGCCTCACTCGAGAGTATTTTCTTTGTCCCTTCTGTAACACCTTGGCAGTTATGCTTTGTTTCACGTGGGTTGGCATGAAAACCGCATCCAGTTTKTGCTGTATATATTTTGAGTCCTTGTACTCTTCCCTGCTTTTGTGCAGAGAATCATCGTTGACACGAAAAACCCACATTCACATTTATCGATTCCTATAACTCACACTAATTTTTACGTACTGTGTATACCCAATGAATTACGACTTTATTGAACGACTTCAAAAACGCCAATACTTATTTGAAACTCAAACCCGTTAGGATTCTTGGAGAAATGATCGTAAAAATAGGTTTTGAGACAAATGGGGCAAACTTATCATGCGCAAAACACTTAACACTCTTGTCAGTCCCACATTGAAAACGCATTAAGTAAAATAGAAGTCCTGGTGGCTCTCTCTCTCACTTCAAACGATAACATCCTGCATTGGTCAAAGATGATTTATCAAACCTGACACCTTTTCTATGGTCATGGGCCTTTTTAAAAATCTGATAAAGGTCATCCTTATTAGTATGCTTTATTAGTATTCACTGATTTTAGTACTCAATTATTATATATGATAAACTTTTACTAATCAYCAATATCATGATTCTCCATTTAGAAKCGATGRTCTKAWTTGATGTGCACAAACAATGGTGGCTCCACCTGCYAAGGACGCTTAGCCCCAGCCATGGACGGAACTCGTTGCGGAGTTCGAAATGTAAGTCAATCATGGTAGCCTAGTTGTCTTTACCATCATAACAATTAAGGACAAACGGATATTCGTTTTATCCTGAGAAAACGTCAATTGAACAGAAACAGTGAAGAAATAAGTCGTTAAAGTTATGAAATAAAATTTGACTATCAATGAGTGAGATAGTTAAATAGAGTGATTGTCATTAAACCTGTGAAACAAAATCCAACTGTAAAAGTGTGATAGTCAAATAGACATAAAGAAAAAAAAATCAATTAGATTGTAATAAAGTGTATTCGTGTAATATCTATTTCACGAGTTTCTTGACTTTACTCTCAGTTAATTACGATCACTATTTACTAATTTTAATAAATGATTAGAGCAATAAATGGATTTGACAATATGTGAATAGTTGTGTTGATCGCTAACAAAAGTTGACGCACAAACAAACAAAACAACTAAGATATAAATAAGGACTCAGACCAGCCCAAAGCATAAAGGGGGGGAGGGGTGGTCTAGAAGTTAACTCATGCTAAGAATTGTGCTATACACCTTCCACTTTGTCTGATATCCAGTGGTGCATTTATGGCGAGTGCGTCGACGATGGTTCTCCTATTATCAATGGAGGTTGGACTGCTTGGAGTGCTGAATGGTCTGCTTGTTCCTACTCCTGTAATGGCGGGGTACAACACAAAACAAGGACCTGTACAAACCCTAAGTGAGTAGAATTACATCACCAACAACTTTTCCTCAACATAAGGTAGTGGAGTCTCGAACGTAATCGATAGGTCGTAAAAACTGTTTGAGTTTCTATGTTTTTTAATCAATATTGTCTATTATGATTTGTCATTAAATCCTATATTAGYCGGAGTGTTTTTTAGCTTTACCAAGTTTATGTAGAATTTCATTTTTACAGTACCGCACATAGGTAAAATGCTTAACCCTGAATTGTTCGCGTCCTCGTGTGCATTTAAATGATGCCTATCTGTAATATCACTTTGTTGAATAGACCAAAGAACGGTGGTGCAAACTGTGTCGGGGAAAGCACTGGACATTGGAGAATCTGTAACTCTGAGGTCTGTAATAAAGTCTGATTTGTTTAGATATTANCATCAAATGGGCGTGTTTTTTTCAATATTTATGTTCTTCACAGCCTCCTCTTTAGAACCAAGCATGGGTTTGGCAAAAAATTAAAAAATACGAAAGTTATTGGCATTTTTCGCTTATTTGTGGTATTTACAAAATCGTAGAAAGCTTATTTGGCAATCATTCTAAAAACGCATGCTTGGCTTTACGGACTTAAATCTAAAGATTAATTTCATCCATTTTCAATCGTTTAATATACTTTGCTTGATGAAATTATAGCATTTTTTCGTATTAATGACGTTACGCGATGACGTCATACAATGACGTCATAGAATGTGTTATTTTTGTTTGGGAAGGCTTAATACTCAATACGAAAGCGATTTTACTTTTGTTTGTCATTTTAGAGAACTACTGAATTTCCCTAGCAACGGATATGTCAGTACACCCTTAATATGCATAAGTATGACATGACTAATCAAAATATGCKTATGGCAGCAGTTTTGATTGGACGTTTTCTTGCAAGTTGTGCACGTCCTGAACAAACAAGTCAATGGAATTTAAATGTAGTTTGTGGTTTCTTGCAGGCATGTGCAGCTGGAGCGAAGTCTTTTCGCGAAAACCAGTGCATTGCAAAAGACCCGAGTACTCCTGATGCACCCATTGTCAAAGGTCTTTGTTGATCAATAATTATTGTTATCTTATATTTTATAAAAATTTTATTTCATGCCTTTGTCGCTATAAAGTGTTTTGAATGTATGTGCTTTAATGACTATTGAAGGGGGGGATAGATGGGCCGGGGGGGATGGAGGCAGCTATACCAACGGACACTTTTTCGTTTCCCAAGAGCGTCTGTGACAAGAGATTCAATTTTATTCTCTACTTTTAACTGTAAAAATAGCTTTTTGAAAAGGTTTTGATAAAGAGAACAGAGAATGCAAGACCGAATGATAGTWTGGGTATTTTTCTTAAAAGCACAAAGCCCAAACCATCATCGCGMCTTAATTCTTTATTTAACGTAAACTAGTAAAATAAGCAGGTTTTGATGGTTTTATATTGCCATCAAATTACCGGTCACGCATTCACTGTTTCCTCCGATGAAAGTTTTCAATATAAAGAACTGTATAAAAGTTGTACAAGGAGTTCAATGGAACCCTATTTGGATATGGTGGTTYGAAAATTGATTGTTTGTTATAATCTCATCCTTAAAATTGTTTTAGAAAAGCCATGCGCCTTGTTTTGCCAGTTATGGCCTAAGCGGTATGACAGAGGCCCAGCTAAGGATGGTTCTCGATGCAATAGTGATAATAAAGATGTTTGCATTAGTAATAAGTGTAAGGTAAGTTTACTTTCGACTGACAAAAAGTTCATTTTAGTCCGTACAATTAATTTTTCATCATTTTTCCTCAATAGAATGTTGGATGCGATAARGTTCTAGATTCGGGCAAAGTTAGAGATCGTTGCGGGGCTTGTGACGGAGATAGCTCATCCTGTTTCTGTAAAAAGGGTACCATACAACAGAAATGTCCGGGGTACTGGCCATGGGGTAGGTATACTTGAATTTAAATCGTAAAAATTAAAAATCTATGTTCAAAAGCATCCAATCAGTTCAAATTTCTGTCGAATATTTTCGATCCAATGAATTTCGCTGAAGTCTCATGAACATGTGTTATCCGTACGCCCACTTWGTGATTTGAACTATTAGTAGCCCAACAATGCCTTAAGTTAAACGTATCTGGAGATTTTTGACACCGGATACGGCCATCGTTTTTGGTGAGTCCTAAACTTGTGAAAAAAAGCGAGGAGCTTAGTTCTATCAATATATTTTTAGGAAGAGCGGAATCTTGTAAGATCCTAACTTTGGACGTCGGAACAAGCGACTTCAAAATCAATAAGACTGTTGTTGCCAGTGGAGGCTATGACACATTTGGTAAGCAGGCACCGAAAACATTGGAAATCTAGAAAACTTAATTTATGAATCTAATTAAACCGTACATATTTAAATTCTATTTTACAAATAAACATTTATATCTTTTTTCATAAATTTTAATTTTTTTTTTACAATATTGCGGGGTAGCCTAGGCAAAGTGCAATAAACCAAACATTATACCCAGGGTATAATGGAATTTATATTACAATATTTATAAGAAATAGTATCTTCTTATCTCGTATTTCATTGGTGATTTCTTTTCTGGACTACTGTTTCTACTTTCAGCGGTTAAAGTTGGTGATCGTACAGAATGGGCTTATAAAGAATTTCCCAGAACGCTAGTAGTAAATAATATCGCAGGAACAACACTATACTTTTATAAGAAAGATTCAAATGATAAAGACAGTATATACGTACCTGGTCCCATCACAGAAAAACTACATATTTATGTAAGCATTAGTTTTTATTCTAAATTATATGATATGGATAYAGTTCACAACCCGTCATGAATTTTGCTTCAAGGATTAATGACCTTACTTTAGAAGCAAAACTTATAAAGATATTCCAGTATTCATCAATATATGACACTTTTTGCACTCTATGATATTACATGGTGGGATGAATTTCACCATCGTGTTTAGATAAACGGTACTTGAATGAGTGTCTTTATGTAAAGCCGGCTTTGGATCCACAATGACCTGGAAATCTGGAAAATAGGGGGTGAGGGGGAGGGGGAGGGGGGGTGTTAAAGTTCTACAGTGAAAGTCAACTCAATGTGGTATGCTAAAGTCACTCATCTCATGCCATTAATGTCAAATTAAAAACTAAATTATTTTCTTCACAGCAAGTTCCTTATTACGGCAATGGTAATCCAATAATATACCAAATGTGCACCAAAGAAAGTACAACAAGTGTCAGCCCCGACGACGTCCACTGGACCACAGCTTCTTGGAGTGCATGCTCACGAACATGCGCAGTCGGTGAGATTGTGTTTCTAAGAGTATTATCGTTATCATTATCATTAATTATTATTGTTATTTCCTTCTTTCTTTGTTTCTTCTTTTCTTTCTTTCTCCCTCTCTTTCTTTGTTTGTTTCTTTGTTTCTTTGTTTCTTACTTTCTTTATTCATTCATTGTTGTGGTACAATTCATAGGGAKGCAAACTCGAGAAGTAAGATGTCTTCGCAAAGATGACAAATCTGTTGTTAAAGACAGTACGTGTAAGGAAGCAAAACCTMCAGTCKAACAAGATTGCAATGTACAACCGTGCTCCGCATCGTAAGTTTCACGTACTGATAGATACATGTATATTATTGAAAGATAAACTATTGTCATTACGAGAGCCTACGTTTTTGTAAAATACCCAAAGCAGGTTCTTCTAAAAATGGTACCGTTTGCTCGGTCTGTATGGTAAAATATCAGACAGKGAACAAACCTTTAGGCTAATTAGGTACTTAAAACAGGRTCTTAATTSTGGAGAAAATCAAATAAAACTTATCTGCAATGAATAACGTAAGAGCCCTGCCCTACCCCATAACCCAAAGGTGACCATAATCTTWCAAATACCAACCGAATATCAATCGGATTTTTCAGCTGGTTCACCTCTAAATTTTCGCCATGTTCTCGCACATGTGGTTTGGGAACACAAAAGAGTTCAACGGTCTGCAGGAGAGAAGTATCAGAAGGGAAATTTCAGGTTGTTGAAGACTCTCTTTGTTCCGGAAATAAACCTGACGTCCCAACAAAGAAGGAATGTAACAAGGTGGCGTGCCCTCCTGAATGGACTGTTGGTGCATGGTCTGACGTAAGTCCCTGTGATTATATTTGGTCCTGATTAAGAGAGATAGTCATGTTATAATGAGATACTCTAAACTTTTAGACACCTTTGTACGCACCAAAGGCGTTTTTTTTCATAGGGAGACTAGTTTAGTGTGCGTTACACTTAGCAATGGCTAAATGCAATAACCCCATGCCTATGCGCGGTTGAGTGGAAGCACCAAATCCGTGAAACTAAGTTTGCTATACTGAATTACTATTAAATGGGTTAGAGGACAAGGTTGAGTAGATTGCGAGTAGATTGCGAGTTGGTAGTCCATAAGATCGTAATCGTCCGAATAATCAGGCTCACTTTTAARAAAGCAGCGTCAGTGTTATGGCGAAATCCGCGGCAAAACTGCCCCTGCTATTGGCTAATGTGAGCTCAAAACAATGACTTGCGRMTAAGGCAATAAGTTCAGCGTATAACCATGGGCTTTTGATTGTTTCAGTGTTCAAAGACATGTGGCGATGGAGTTGAGACAAGGACAATTGAATGCACTAGTAGAACAGCGACTGGTGCTGTCGAGAAACTTCTTGATYCAAACTGCCAACATCTTAAAAAACCTTCAGCATCGAGAGCTTGCAACAAAGTTGGTTGTGGTAAGAAAAGAATGTCTTAACGTACAAGATACTGCAATAAGAGACAGCAGAAAAAGCGCATATGTTCCTGTATAGAATGGAGATGTATGCACTCTCGCTCTTGTTAATTTTTTTGCGCATTCTGAATTAACATTGAATTTTTTTTGGCGAACTCAATGTCAATTGATTTAGACGGCAAACTTCTCATAAACAACAGGCAAGAAATCAGATTTAACGCGGCAAAATATCGACGCTAAACCGTGCGCACTGATTTTTTAACTATAGCTGAACTCACATGCGGTTTGTTTCACCAGGTCCAAAGWCATTAGGATGTGTTCATGACAGAGGCGGSGATATTCGTCCATTCACATTGATGAAAAGTTTCCGCGGGAATATTGATTGGTATGATTTGTCAAAAACTGTCAAAGCATGTGATCTTTATTCTAAAACAATGTATCCGGAAGAGAAATATTTTGGAATAGAGTATTATGGAGAGTGCTGGTATGGTCCTGGCTCGAATAAAACCTGGAATAAAGATGGCATGGCTGACCCCAATACCTATTGTTATAAAGGAGTTGGAAAGGAAAATGCTCTTGAAGTTTATAAAAGGCCATAATTCWTCTGAAAAAGGTAAGATTATTATCAATCATCGCATATTCATCTCTTGAGCATTATTGTAAACGTAAGTTCGCCCGCTATTAGTAATAATTTGTGCAATCCTTTTGATTGAAAACTCGATATAAGTTGATTGAAACATGTAAATCCCATATATCACGATAGATTTTCTTAAAAGTACTTGAAGATCATCAAGATGGGCTTGTTTAACACGAAATACGAACCCGTTGGTTTTTTGATATCCATTACAAAAAAAGAATCTTTCTATTTTCAGATTCTTGTCCTAGATGAAGATGGAGTCCACAATATCGAACAAGAATAAATAATAATAACTTATAACAAATTTATAGTACTGTATAAACAGTGATTTATTGTAAAGTTACAGTAAAAGCCAGTTGGCAATAAATTCAATGTATCAACATTGCTTTCCTTTTTTGATAATCACATTTATACAAGCCTTATTCATTCTCGTCCCAACCTRAGTCCCAGGCTACCCAGTTTCCATGTTTTTCATTGTGTTTACGGAGGGAGGGGGGGGGGAGGGAGGATGTTGGAGGGCTATGAATTTGGCAATTGGACAAGCGAGGAACTGTAGTGTAGTGATGATTATATGGTGTTAGATGTACATCTGTAGACAGGAGTTTTTAATATTTTTGCTGCCCTTAAGTCTTAAAACCCTTTACAATTTACCTTGACGGCTAACTTATGTACATGTTATGTACCATAAGGCAATTGTGCATTAAGTGTACTATATACCTAACCTGTCCGTTGGTAATCCATATTTACCGTAAATACGTAGCAATTAGCCTCTTTTTGATCTTTCAAAGCTAAATGACAAATGGCTTTGGCAAAATATACTGAGCTTATATTAGCTGTCGACAAACCGTAAAATAATCCCAAACGATTTAAAAAGTCTGTAAGCTCTAAGGTTTTTTAAATCTTGATATTATCATCAAGACTCACTACATCATCAAAAGATTATCTTTTGAGTTGTCGTGTTTGGTTCACAAACTGTAGCAAAATCCCAAGAAGACATGAATTACTTGGAACATGAATGCTTGTTTTATGGTGAGCAAACATTTGACTTTACCATTGATTTGACACAAAGAAAAATCAACAATCATTTGAAAGGCTAAGCGTAATCACTAACTCTGAGTAAATATATGTTTCATTTACCTTTATTGATGTTTGCGTACAGATTTCCATCATTTTGTATGGATTTCAGCCGCACGCAGCGCGAGGGGTTCATTTATCCGTTCGCCCTTCGCAGATTTCAGTCATTCGTCAAAAGAAAACGTTACGTTCTTGTTAAAGGTTTGCTGCAAATCTAAAAAGGTAAAAATAACTTTAACTGGAGAACCACAAAACTAAACAGTTCAGTAATTACAAGATATTATTGATTGGTCCAAGTTTCCATACAAAACAGAGAATAATAAGTTAATTGATTGAGAAAAATATCAAATGAAAAGAAATTCAGAAATATGCCARGGTCATAATCGAAGAGTCTTACTAGTTTTRTCATTRGAAATGCATGTTGCTATATCAAGTTCTTCTAAAATATGTCCCTTRAGTGGCCTCGCCTGTTAACAAAACTTTGCAGCTCAGTTTAGAAAGTGTGGCAATGTTTGCATTTTTTCTTCGGCATTATCGTTGCAAGCGCTGCTGTCTTGATTTTGTAGATAGASAGCAAACMGAATAGGTTAGTCTGATTWAAAAAGGCTTAGCGTGGCCATGCAAGTTATCAGTACTGTCCCAATGAAAGAACAAGAGAACTTTAGACAATCTTGATATGCAGAGAGCTTTATCGATCGCGGGCATTATCAATCTGTATGCAGTGAAATCTTCCCTAGTCTTCATGTCTTACGGAGTCCATTCATTTTCACTATAGGACCAACACTAAGCTAAGCGATGGTGTTGATCATTTTTCGCTAGAGTTTCATTTATATAACGCAGACTGGGCCATACAGTTTTAATTAGCTATGGCCACATAGATAATGAAAACAGCACCATAAGCCAATCAGTGCGCAAACACCATTTTACTTTTTATTCGATAAACATTTTAGTATTCCGTTGAATCGTAATTTTTTTCCCTATAATTTTAATTTTTAACCAGCACGAAACACCGGTACTGTTCGTCGAATACATTTATCATTAAGCGCAACATCATTTCTATATTTCAACATTTCAGGTGGCTATAAATTTTACCCATGAAACAAGACGCTTTATGTCAGCTAATTAAAAAAATTTCCTGACATCCCYATTCAAATAGTATATAAATATTTTTCGTTCATTTCGAGAAAACAGGTGATAGTTTGTCGGATATTTACCCGTTTACTGACTTTACATTATCTACCTGCAGAAAAAAAAAATTGTGCTTTCTGTACAAGGGTGACCYACTGACCTTTGAATTTGGCAAAAAAGAAAGAGAGGTCAAGAAAAGGATTAAGACTGAAAGATGAAAAAAAGGGAGAAAGAAAAAATAAAATAAATAAAATAACATCAGATCAAAGCAGTCGCGATATAAGCCGGCTTAATCCTACAAAGCAAGTTCTACAAAACCTTTTCGAAAGGAAAAAAAAACATGCCCCCGAAGGGTATTCATTTAAAGACGCACTTTATAAAGCCGCAAATACTTTGGTTATTAAACAAACGGTCAATGTGAAGATTAACCTACATTACTAGTCCCAAGTAGATGGTTTTGATTGAAATGTTAATGTGGTGATTTTTTACACATTTGCACTTAATCAATAATCTCTGTATAGATATATCATATTCAATACTCGACTGATCATAATAACGTAAAATGAAAATGCCCCTGAGTTGCCATTGGCCAATGTAATGAAAATATACGCAAATACACAGACAGACATAAAWAATCAATTTTGCGCCCCATGTCCAGGTTTCTTTTAAACATGGCGGATTGTTTGGTGGTATGGCTGTTAATCTTAGTGTTGGCTTCCTTCTCAGGTTAGTAKTTAGAATAGACGGTATTATAAAAAAAATATGTTCGCCATATTGAATAATGTTGAAATTATGGGATGTTCAAGGTGAAAAAGGTTCAAGTTTTAATTACTTTCTCTGGCAACACGTYAGAAAGAATCCAAAATTATTTGAGAAAAAAAAACAGCCTAAAGTCTCAAATCACATATAGTGTAGTCCCTGACCMGGTATCGGACCTGGACCAGAGGTGATACTAGACCTGCGTTTTAACCGCTCGACCATTCTTTCTCCCCTATAGTCACCGCAAACTGACATTGTATCTTTAGAGATCGTTCCAACCGATTGGACGCCTAGTGCTAGGCTTGCTAGCTTGTTTGTCAGGGAATTGCTTCTTTGTTTCATCCTCATACTACTATGGTCTGTCCATGGAATTAAACAYGGGACTCATTTTTATTTCAGATGCCTTTAAAKTGACAAATGAAAATCCTGAGGTACAGTAAACTGCAATTGTCTTGCTTCCACAGGAAACCCGTGGAATCTAACTTAGGAATATAACACTTATTTACGGTGCACCAGCGAAATTCATTTTCAAGAATGGAAAAAAAGGATTAAAAGGAATTAAGTAATATCTCAGTTGTTTAAAGTGACTGGAGTATAAAGAATTTCTGACCCGGAACCTACATTTCTTTCTTAAGATTTCTACTTCATGAAGTTCTTACAAATATTCCATTTGGTAGATCAAATTACATCACAAGATGACTAAGAGAGAGATAAGTCATTATTTTGGGGTCGATTCTCATGATGAAGGTAAGSAGTTTGTTGCAATAATTCAAAATAAGATTGTTTCCGTGGCAACCGGTYTATAATAAACAAAGCATWGGTCAKGTGAGCRTTTTTCTTTCKAGTTCCAGACTACGAGGTGACAATACCACACCAAGCGGACCCACACACGGGGAAGTTTTCAACTTTCAAGCTGGGTAACCACGCGAGACACCGACGCAGCGCCGAGAACAATGTTTGGTTTTATAACATCCAGGCATTCGGCGTCAATATGGGTCTAAATTTATCAAAAGCTCGCGATGTGATTGGTCCAAAGGTCCAGGTTGAAACGACTCACAAAAACGGATCTAAATCCTACTCCTCGCAACCAACGAATGACATCCTGGAAGGTCACGTGACTTCTCAGCCTGGCTCATTTGCAATGATCAGTAACAATGGCGGATTGGTAAGATTAATTCAGTTTTATTGTCGTATCTTGCTGCAGTTGTGCTTTTATTACTGTWTGCWTTTCTCAATGTCCAATGTCAATCCACAGAGCGGAATGATRAGCCTAATGGACCAGCTTCTGTTTTTYCATCCACTACCAAACCACCTTGCAAAMGATTATGGACAACAAAATGGCGGCGGTAATCCTCACGTGGTGTATCGTCATTCCTCTGATGGCATGACAAAAAGAGCCTGTTATACGAAAGGTGAGAAAGACAGTTGTCATTGGTGTAACAAACACTTTCAATGATCGATGTTCATAATGTACTTTGAAATATGATGTATTTGCCGTATCAATAGGTAACACATTTTCGGATAGTCCAACAGTTTGTTTGCTGTGAATCCAAAACAATACTCAAAACAATACTCGTACAATGCTCGTACAAT